AAAGTACTTCGTAACAAATCAAAAGTACTCTGTAACAAGTCAAAAGTACTTCGTAACAAATCAAAAGTACTTTGTAACAAGTCAAAAGTACTCTGTAACAAGTCAAAAGTACTTCGTAACAAGTCAAAAGTATTTCGTAACAAGTCAAAAGTACTCTGTAACAAGTCAAAAGTACTTCGTAACAAGTCAAAAGTACTTCGTAACAAATCAAAAGTACTCTGTAACAAGTCAAAAGTACTCTGTAACAAGTCAAAAGTACTTCGTAACAAGTCAAAAGTACTTCGTAACAAATCAAAAGTACTCTGTAACAAGTCAAAAGTACTCTGTAACAAGTCAAAAGTACTCTGTAACAAGTCAAAAGTACTTCGTAACAAGTCAAAAGTACTTCGTAACAAGTCAAAAGTACTCTGTAACAAGTCAAAAGTACTCTGTAACAAGTCAAAAGTACTCTGTAACAAGTCAAAAGTACTTCGTAACAAGTCAAAAGTACTTCGTAACAAGTCAAACGTACTTAATGAAATGAAGCAGAAATAACTCCGTCATGATGGAGGTTTCTAAAATGTCTGAAGGCACGATTCGTCCGTCCACGAGACCTTTGGTTCTTCAGGGCGACGCTAACATGAAGATTCAACGACTTCTCACAGGAAACATGTGCTTATTGACACTAATGTCAAGAAAAAGGAAATGTTGAACCGGAGACTGAGGTTCAAACACTGGGAAACATGGAAAGTAGGGCTGTGCAATTAATCGTATTTTAATCTCGATTACGATTTTGGCTTGCAACGATTACGAAAACAATGTAATCGAAATAAAACGATTATTATTTTTATTAAAAAAAAAAAAAAAAAAAATTTTTTATTTTTTTTTATTGGTTTTTTCAGTTGAATTATACTTAAAGTTCAGGGTAATCAACTGTTAAAAACATACTGTTCACATTTTTTTTTTCAATATATGGATGTTTTCAAAGTAAATGGATAATCGTTTTTAATAATCGTGATATCAATTATTGACCAAAATAATCGAGATTATGATTTTTGCCATAATCGCACAGCCCTAATGGAAAGTGTAGAAACGTTAAGAAGTTCATCAGTGGAAGTGACGGTGCTGAAGGTGGTTGAAGAGAACATTTAAAGCATGTTGGGAAATAACATGCTGAGGCTTTAAAGATTCAAACTAAAGACAACAACAACAACAGTGCTGACATGTTTACTACTAACAAGCCAGACCATAATAAGAGCTGTTGACTCAGCTGTAAACTCTAAAAGAGAAACAGGAAGGTCAGCATGGTGGACCAGAACCCCTCACAGCATGGTGGGCCAGAACCCCTCACAGCATGGTGGACCAGAACCCCTCACAGCATGGTGGACCAGAACCCCTCACAGCATGGTGGGCCAGAACCCCTCACAGCATGCTGGACCAGAACCCCTCACAGCATGGTGGACCAGAACCCCTCACAGCATGGTGGACCAGAACCCCTCACAGCATGGTGGGCCAGAACCCCTCACAGCATGGTGGACCAGAACCCCTCACAACATGGTGGGCCAGAACCCCTCACAGCATGGTGGACCAGAACCCCTCACAGCATGGTGGACCAGAACCCCTCACAGCATGGTGGGCCAGAACCCCTCACAGCATGCTGGACCAGAACCCCTCACAGCATGGTGGACCAGAACCCCTCACAGCATGGTGGACCAGAACCCCTCACAGCATGGTGGGCCAGAACCCCTCACAGCATGGTGGACCAGAACCCCTCACAGCATGGTGGACCAGAACCAGGGGACATAACTATGAGTTAAAGTGACTCTTAAAGCTAATTGTAGTCCAAGCTCGGGGGTTACATTTCAGTCCAAACTGAAACCCTGAGAGACATTAAGGAGGTACATTTAAAAGGAAAGGACAGATTTTTTGTAAAAGCACTTTATTAGTTGAAGTGACCGGGGGGACAGGAGTTGAAACTTCAAGCGTCAGTTTGAATCAAGATGTTCAAGAAAGGGATGAAATGATGCTTAAAATAAATTGAAGAGTCGGTTAAAGTTCAGCGATGGTACGAACACAAAGGCTGAAGGAGCCAGAGAGTCTTCAGTGACCGGTGTCTCTGAACAGAGAGCTGTGTGTTCAACTCTCACACACACACACACACACACACACACACACACACACACACACACACACACACACACACACACACACACACACACACACACACACACAGATTTATGAACCTCTGATTCTTTCTGCTTCCTGATTGGACGATCCATCAGAAGCCTTAGTCTGTTCTGACGTTTTTATTGGTCCGTTTAAAGAACGACATGACGAGTTATATTGATGAAAACACGGTGAAAGAAATGTTGAAAATGTGTGTGTGTTTGTGTGTGTGTGTAGGTGTGTGTGTGTGTGTGTAGGTGTGTGTGTGTAGGTGTGTGTGTGTGTGTGTGTGTGTGTGTGTGTGTGTGTGTGTGTGTTAAACAGAAAGAAAGAGTCATTGCACTGAGAGTAGGTTTTAAGTTCATGAACAGCTCAGAGTTCCCCCCTCAGATTCCTGGATGTGTGTGTGTGTGTGTGTGTGTATGTGTGTGTGTGTGTGTGTATGTGTGTGTGTGTGTGCACGTCTGTGTCTGTGCATGTGTTTCCTATTTAAAGTGACCTCATTCCTCGGCCCGGGGGCAGCAGCAGGATGATGACATCACCGTCTCTGAGACTTTCACATTAAGAGCGTGTCTCCTGTCAGCTGGAACACAAACACTACAGCAGGCTTTTATTTTGGCGAGCCAGATGTTTTTAAAAAGCTCCGTGAAACAGAACAGGAAGTTGGGTCGAAACCAGCTGATTACGAACCGCTGCAGAACGAATGATTTCACATTTCGCTTAATTTACTGGCTTCTGATTGGCTGACAGTTTATTGATAAATCACAACAAACGGCTCATCAGTCATAAGTCCACTGCAGGTGAATAGGGTAAAGAAATAAACTACCAGATATCACCATGAAACTCCCTCACTATATTACTGACATTAACAGAAGCATTTTTTATATTACAAGTTTTCTGACAGGTAATGTTTACATATGCTAATGAGGCGATTTGCATAATTTCCCGCTCAGATATGTGAACATTTAAATTAGAGTCAAAGGTTTCCACAGAGGGGATTCTGGGTATATAAATAAAACGCAGGCTTTAAGGTTGTTGTAGTTTGGTAAACAGAGGACATATTGGGTCTATAAGACGTCAGAGAAAGTGACAGACTTGTGAATATTGACGTCTTTAAAGGTGGGGTAGGTAAGTTTGAGAAACCGGCTGGAGATACACTTGTTGTTATATTCCATGGAAAGCTCTTAACATCCAGATAGCAATGAATATCTGAAGTGCTTTGACAACAAATCCATTAAGAAATATCATCTGTGGAAGCTGTAGTACTGTAAAAAGCACGACCAATCATCTGAGCCGGCCCGGCTAAAGTAACTGGATGGCCTACCTGCCTGTCAGCCTTCCATCTGTGCACAAACTTATCTCGTGCCCTCATTGGTCATGTGTGCGTTCGTGTGTGTTGGAGGAGGGGCTCTGTAAGGAAGTGGCAGATTTTCTCCGGCTGTGTATTTTCAAATTCTAGCGCACTCGAGCCGGTTTCTCCAAAATTACCTACCCCACCTTTAAGGGTATTTAACTTAAAGCTGAAACCAGTGCATTTTGACGTAAATATGTGTCTTTATTTCTTCTATAAGAGTAAGGAGCTGGAAGTCATTCTTCAATTAAACCTGGCTTATAAATGAAATCCTTCTTTATTGAAATGTTTGTTTGCGTAGAATTGTCTCAGTGAAGTTTCACACAACATTAAAATATGAACGCGGTTTTATTTTGTTAAAGGGTCTGTACATCCTGTAAATGAGCTGAAGAATAAAGAGAAAGCCTTTGATGTCTGATATCTGTTTGATGTTCAGATGAAGATCAGAAACTCCAGAGACACAAAGAGAGCGGGAACCAGAGATCCAGACGCTCGTAGAACAGGAAGTGTTGAAATGAGAATCAGAGGATGAGTATTTGAATCCTGAGCTTCGTGATGACGTCGGTTTTATTTCAGTTTAAAAAAAGACACATTGCACCTTTCAGTAGACTGGTTTCAGTGGACTGGTTTCAGTAGACTGGATTCAGTAGACTGGTTTCAGTAGACTGGTTTCAGTAGACTGGTTTCAGTGGACTGGTTTCAGTGGACTGGTTTCAGTAGACTGGATTCAGTGGACTGGTTTCAGTGGACTGGTTTCAGTAGACTGGATTCAGTAGACTGGTTTCAGGAGACTGGTTTCAGTGGACTGGTTTCAGTGGACTGGTTTCAGTGGACTGGTTTCAGTGGACTGGTTTCAGTGGACTGGTTTCAGTGGAAAGGTTTCAGTGGACTGGTTTCAGTAGACTGGTTTCAGTAGACTGGTTTCAGTGGACTGGTTTCAGTGGACTGGTTTCAGTGGACTGGTTTCAGTGGACTGGTTTCAGTGGACTGGTTTCAGTAGACTGGTTTCAGTGGACTGGTTTCAGTGGACTGGTTTCAGTGGACTGGTTTCAGTGGACTGGTTTCAGTGGACTGGTTTCAGTGAACTGGTTTCAGTGGACTGGTTTCAGTGGACTGGTTTCAGTAGACTGGTTTCAGTGGACTGGTTTCAGTAGACAGGTTTCAGTGGACTGGTTTCAGTGGACTGGTTTCAGTGGACTGGTTTCAGTGGACAGGTTTCAGTGGACTGGGGGTTTATAGATCCATCAAACACATTGTTACGTTCCCTCCTCAACTAGGGGTGCAAAGGGAAGTAACACAATATAAAAATAAGAGAGGAAACAGACTTAGTAGATCATGTTTAATGACTTGAAAAGGAAGAAGGCTCAGCAGCTAACTCACAGAGCAAAGTTAAGACAAACGAAGAACAGCTTTGTCCTAAAGAAAGAGACTAAAGTACTTCATACACAAAGACAAAGTGGGACACACACAGGTCAGCATATCTCTGATTGATCTGTCCCCCAAGACTCGAAGGCCATCGTGGACGGGAACCTGAAGCTGATCCTGGGTCTGATCTGGACCCTGATCCTGCACTACTCCATCTCCATGCCCATGTGGGAGGACGAGGACGACGAGGACGCCAAGAAGCTGACCCCCAAGCAGCGTCTGCTGGGCTGGATCCAGAACAAGGTCCCCGAGCTGCCCATCACCAACTTCCACCGCGACTGGAGGGACGGCAAGGCCCTGGGGGCGCTGGTGGACAACTGCGCTCCAGGTGGGATGAGATGAGATGGACCCCCCGGGTACAACTGGGCCCCGGGTAGGAGACCAGGTCTCAGTGTTAGAAACATCTGTACGTAGGAGACCAGGTCTCAGTGTTAGAAAAACATCTGTACGTAGGAGACCAGGTCTCAGTGTTAGAAACATCTGTACGTAGGAGACCAGGTCTCAGTGTTAGAAACATCTGTACGTAGGAGACCAGGTCTCAGTGTTAGGAACATCTGTACGTAGGAGACCAGGTCTCAGTGTTAGAAACATCTGTACGTAGGAGACCAGGTCTCAGTGTTAGGAACATCTGTACGTAGGAGACCAGGTCTCAGTGTTAGGAACATCTGTACGTAGGAGACCAGGTCTCAGTGTTAGGAACATCTGTACGTAGGAGACCAGGTCTCAGTGTTAGAAACATCTGTACGTAGGAGACCAGGTCTCAGTGTTAGGAACATCTGTACGTAGGAGACCAGGTCTCAGTGTTAGGAACATCTGTACGTAGGAGACCAGGTCTCAGTGTTAGGAACATCTGTACGTAGGAGACCAGGTCTCAGTGTTAGGAACATCTGTACGTAGGAGACCAGGTCTCAGTGTTAGAAACATCTGTACGTAGGAGACCAGGTCTCAGTGTTAGAAACATCTGTACGTAGGAGACCAGGTCTCAGTGTTAGGAACATCTGTACGTAGGAGACCAGGTCTCAGTGTTAGGAACATCTGTACGTAGGAGACCAGGTCTCAGTGTTAGGAACATCTGTACGTAGGAGACCAGGTCTCAGTGTTAGGAACATCTGTACGTAGGAGACCAGGTCTCAGTGTTAGGAACATCTGTACGTAGGAGACCAGGTCTCAGTGTTAGAAACATCTGTACGTAGGAGACCAGGTCTCAGTGTTAGGAACATCTGTACGTAGGAGACCAGCTCTCAGTGTTAGGAACATCTGTACGTAGGAGACCAGGTCTCAGTGTTAGGAACATCTGTACGTAGGAGACCAGATATAATAAGAGATGCAATGAAAGTCAGTTTCCAGCCTCTCAGATCTGGAGTTGTTTGTGAGTCTGTTTGAAATGATATTGAACGTCTCTCCGTGGTGCGTTCAGGTCTTTGTCCGGACTGGGAGAACTGGGACCCCAGCCAGCCGGTGGAGAACGCCCGGGAGGCCATGCAGCAGGCCGACGACTGGCTGGGCGTGCCTCAGGTAACACCAACCTTTATTTAACATTTAATACATGACCTCATACAGAACATGAATGACCTTTATACGCTTTAACAGAACACAAAACATGGAGCATGTTTAAAACCCAGAGGAATCTGCCGGCAACTATATAAAAAAATCAAGGAATAAAAGTGATTCCTTTAAAAAAAAAAAAAAAAAAATTATTTTTCCCTCCGTTTAAAAAAAAAGGAGATTCTACAGATTATTTCTCTCGTGCTCAAAGGCTCAATTTTATCTGTAAAAACCGTCAAAGTTGGATATTAACATTTGAATCTGCATTAAAAACATCGCCCTCTGTCTGAAACCAGAGCTGCTCTGATTGGTTAGCTGGACGGCTCTGTTGTGATTGGTCAACCAGCTTAGAGATGTCCCGCCCCTTTTAGCCTATCACGTATAATGTGTTGGAGTGCAGGTGTTCCATAGTGATGTCACCATGTTCCTGAACTTTGGGATTCTAGCCTCTGCAGACCGTTAACATGCACTAACACCTACAGGAGAGGAATAAAGGGCCTCTTTAAGTGAGCGGCAGCACGACGCGATGACGGACGGCTTTACAGATGTCAGAGTTTCCGTGTGTTGAACTCTGTAATGATGATGAAGTGATTATAAAACAGATGTTTAATTATTCATATTTAACGAGAGCTGCAGACTGGAAACTGTTAGTCTGACGTCTGCAGGTCGGTGCGTTTTAGAAAGTACTAAAAATAGTCTTCACTGAGAGATACTGGGAGTGGAGAAACTTTGAATGTATGGAGTGTATTGAATGTCTAATTGGAGATAATCTGCAAACCTAGTCCTGTTTAGGTTTTTAAGAAATAAGAAAAATATATAATACAACTGTCAGATATAGGATACTAACTATAACAGACAAAAGCCAATTATTTTCACAGAGAAGAATTTAAACAACATTCAAGACTTTTCTGAATTATTGAAAACCCAGTTATATTTTCTTTACATTTGAATTCCCAAACAAAACCACCATTCACAAGGTGTGACTGACTGTTGTCACATGTGACTACCGATTAGCATTCGTGCTAACTTAACATTGAAATTCCCATTGACTGTTTTCACACGTATTACCAGCTGTTTCCAACAGGTGTTGAGGTGAGTATTGAACAGAAGGTAGATGACAGACAGGTAGGCCTTCAGGGTTCAGCAGGACACAGAGGAAAAACACCTGCTGGGCTCCATAGGCTTTCATGAAACAAGGAAACTACGGCAAGCCTTTAAGGACAAACAGGCAACACCCTCTTAAAGGGGCAGGACAACAATGATATACAATAAGCTCAGAAAACACGTTACATAAATAAATATCTGATCAAACAACAAACAGAAAAATATCATAGTTATGCAGATGATGCACATATTTACTTAAGAATATTTCAAATGAAAAATAAAAGGAAAGCCTGTTTATTTACCTTTCAATGACCTGTCCCTCGTTGTCTCACCTGTCCCTCGTTGTCTCACCTGTCCCTCGTTGTCTCACCTGTCCCTCGTTCAGGTGATCGCCCCGGAGGAGATCGTGGACCCTAACGTGGACGAGCACTCGGTGATGACCTACCTGTCCCAGTTCCCTAAATCCAGACTGAAGCCTGGCGCCCCCCTGAGGGCCAAGACGCTGCACCCCAAGAGGGCCAGGGCCTACGGACCGGGTGAGGAGGAGGAACCGACCAATCAGCAATCAGTTCACTATCTTTGATATGAGACTCATTGGTTTTTGGTCACAAGCAAACAATATATAATGCCACCTCGTTAACTGTAACGAGCACATTGTGTAGGGCTTTATACCCCAAAAAACAATCAATAATAATAATACTTTTTTTGCAGCCGAGATTATTTGTCACTCCCAACTAAATTTAGAAATACCAAACTTAAAAAATACAAAGTTCCTGCAGATCATTCCAACCTGGTGTTTATCACATTTATTTAATTATTCTTCAATTAAACAGAAACAGTTTGTTTAACATTTAAATAATTAAATCGTGTCTGATAATGTAATAATTAAAAAAAAGGTAAAAATGAATATTGTATAACATTGCAATACCTTCCTGTCAGGTTGAAGCATCACTGTTTGTTTTTTTAAATCAAAAAATATATTTTTTTATATTTTTGGAAATGTTCTTTCAATCACCAAATGTAAAAAAAAGAATATCCAAAACTTTTAAAAAGATGTAAAAAAAATATGTGAAAGAAAGTTTATAACAATTCTCTTTTAGAAAATGTAAAAAAAGAAATGCAAAAGTCCAAAAAAACCTCCCTGCCTTTAAATAACTCAGCCGTTAGTTTGAAGACGTCTTGCTGTCAGCCTTCATCGCGTGGAACCGGAGACGTTCTCTAACTTCCTGATGTGTTTCAGGTGTGGAGCCGCGCGGGAACATCGTCCTGAAGCCGGCCGAGTTCCTGGTCGAGACAGTGGAGGCCGGACTCGGGGAAATCCTGGTTTACGTGGAGGACCCTGAAGGCCACACGGAGGAGGTGGGAACACACTCTGTTTTAATGTAAACTTAACACAAAAAGTAAGGAAATCTGTTTCGTTGTTGTTACAAGGCTTCTTGGCAATACATCTTACACCAGGTGGCTAAAGTCCTCTACGTGTATTGGGGTTACAGATGGGGTCCAAAACCATCGAGCCACATGAATGTTTGGGAGCTAATTAATGCTATATGCTACACAAATACGGCCAGGATCCGTTGAATTTTCGGAATATTGGGTTGCAGATTATAATTTTCCAAAGGGGGGTTGGTTTAGCGTGAAACACTTGAAATAACTAAAGGATAAGTTCAACAAGAAAGTAGAAAGAACTTTGAATTGCCTTGTATTGAAATGTGCTATATAGATAAACATGCCTTTCCTTATACCGTTGGAAAGCCTGTTCTCTTACCTTTCAAATGGCGCCTCATTTGTGAGGAACATGTGGGATCATTATGGGGTGCGCCCATGACAAATGTGACAAAGAAATAATCTACCAAACACAGATTTCCTTACTCTTTGTGTTAAGTTTATTTGTTTAAACCCAACACAGTGAAGTACAGCAGATGGTTTCTGTGTTTCAGGCCCGAGTGATCCCCAACAACGACAAGAACCGGAGCTACTCGGTGGTCTACCTGCCCAAAGTGGAGGGGCTTCATAAAGTAAGAAACTTAGATAGCACAGCAATCAGAGCTTTCAACCATCCTCATGGTCTTCCTGGGAGACGGGTGGAGGACTGGTTCTTTGTCAACAGATGCTAAGAGTTGATTAACAGACAGATCTCTCAAACGGACCGTCCTCAACTAGGAATCCTGAAAAAGCTCCGCCTGAAATCTTGATTTTACTGATGTGTTCCTTTAGGTTTCTGGAAAAGAAGTCATTCATCATGAAAAAGGCATAATAAATGACACTGAGTAAATCTGCATCTAATAAGACCAAAAACGATCGACCAGGAAGAGCCTTGTTTAGTTCAGGTGTTTTTTAACGTGAGCATTTACGGTGAAACTGTTAGAAACTCTCCCTGGTCTCCGGCTTGATCTTCAATCTCAGGATCCATGTATCTGTGATCCTCTCCAGAATGGAAGTAGTCATCACATACAGAGCATCAACTAGTTCCTGAACAGTGTCCTTCACATGCTGATATCCAAGAGAGGGAGTTACACAGTCACAAGATGGAGGAATAGAAAGCAGTATTCAATGTTTACTTCAGATTAGCTCCACGTCAGAAATGAGCATGCTTGTCATATGTCTATCTCCATAGAGGCTGAATCATCATGTTAATCACATAGCTATCATATGCCTCAAACAGTCCTGATGCTCTTCTAGGTAATCATACATCCTGTCATGTACACAGCTACAGTTGGGATACCTTTGTTATCATGTGTACTCTGTGTTTGTGTGTCCAGGTCAAGGTTCTGTTTGCGGGGCAGGACATCGAGCGGAGTCCCTTCATGGTGAACGTCTCGAAGGCGCTCGGCGACCCGAGCCGGGTCCAGGCTCGCGGGCCGGGGCTGCAGCTGAGCGGGAACGTGGCCAACAAACCCACGTACTTCGATATTTACACCGCAGGTAACCAGAGCAGCTACAGATGAAGCGTCTTATTTTGGACAGTTTAAAGTGCGAGGGTCGTGATCGGTTCGTGCACGTTCCGTGATGGCCGGCCGGCCCCCAGTCAGACTTGATACCGCCCCCATGATAAATACATTTAATTATTGTGAAGCCAGCTGCAATGGATCATTGATCCACCAGGGGGTGCAGTGGGGTTCCACACTGGAGTCATGTGAAATCAACTTCTAAATAATAGATGTTGTTTAGTCGGAAAAAACGAACGAGCCGGCTCTCCCGATTTTTAATCCTAATTTAATCATCATCATTGATGTTTATGTTCGCCGAATTGACATGAAATCACTGACAAATATGAATATTCTGTATTCAACTTCATTGAAACGATCAGGATGGGTGTTATTTTTCCCCACAATGACCAAGTCGCTGCAAATGATCCCATGTATTACATGTACATGGCCACATTCTCAACAAAGTTACGTAACGAAACATTCTGTATTCCTTGCTTACTTTTTATTTAATGCTTTATAACAGCTGGAATAGTTCGTTTAGAACAGGCACCTCACTCGCAATCTGCTCCTCCGCAGCGCCGCCCACCTCCCTCCGGCTGAAATTATGAATGTACAGTAAGGCATAGTAATCATAGATAACACGGCAGGGTCCGTTACAGTTTGTTTTCATCTGATTTCAAATATTTCAAATGTCTGAAGTTAATAAATACATTCTCAGTGTTCAAGTCAATAATAGTCATATAAGAAAAGTACTGATCTAATAACAGAGATTTTATAAGGACTTTTCAATGTTCGACATCGCTCATGTGAAATACAGTAAACTGGATGTTGTGGTGCCGAGAGGCGGGGTATCAAAAGTACAAGCTAAACTTTTATTTAGCATCTGAACACACTTGTAAACAACGTGATGCCCGGGAAGCGAAGACCCGGCGGAAACAGCTGGTCTGGTTCACTAAAATGTCCGTGTACAGTATATCTGGTACTAATGTATAGCGGATCTTTGTTAAGATCCATATGTCACGGATAGAACTATATATTGAGCTTTAAAACAAATGATATATATTATAATAAAATAAACACCGGCTGTTGTTATGCCTGCTGTAACGTTTACTTTCTCCGTTCTCCGCTTAAGTAATTATTACTTCCTGGTTAGCTTTCCGCTCGAAATTTAAATCTGAAAATGGCAAAATAACGGAGAAAAAAAACGTTCACAGAGAAGACGACAACAATTGTCACTTGCACTTGTCATTTAGCATCTGAACACACTTGTAAACAACGTGATGCCCGGGAAGCGAAGACCCGGCGGAAACAGCTGGTCTGGTTCACTAAAATGTCCGTGTACAGTATATCTGGTACTAATGTATAGCGGATCTTTGTTAAGATCCATATGTCAGTAGAGATGGGATGGCAGAAGGTGCTATATATATATATATATATATATATAATTCCAAAGCTGGTAAAGACCTTTCAAATTTAGCAATAATAGTCATATAAGAAAAGTACTGATTTGTTCTTGAATCAACTTTTTTATGGAAAATGTTTTATGTAATTTTATTTCATTTTAAATAAAATGAAAGACATTCACAGTTAATGTAATTAGATATACATTATTAATGCCATACATTTTTAAATGTAATTAGATATACATTATTAATGCCATACATTTTTGCATAAATATTTATTCAGTATGATAGCTGTCTAACAGAAGTTAAATCCATTTCTCACTTATTCTGACAATGTACTTAACCCCAAATAAAAGAACCCAATAAAAATAGTTGTTAAATAATAGTGAAGTCACGTTGTAATAACAATAACTCATCTCTCTCGGTTTTTTTTGTTTTCTTTGTGTGCTTTGCCAAAAGCCACTGTGTCAAGTGTCCTAGTTGGGTTACCGTAACGAACAGCAGCCGGCTCTCGATTTTTAATCCTAATTTAATCGTTTATGTTCGCCGAATTGACATGAAATCACTGACAAATATGAATATACTGTATTCAACTTCATTAAAATGTTATTAACGTGCCTAAACTCAGTAATTCACTAAAAATTACTGATCCCTCCGCGTCGCGGAGGGATCTTGATCCCTGGGTGTTATTTTTCCCCATAATGACCAAGTCGCTGCAAATTACCCCGCTTATTACATGGCCACATTCTCAACAAAGTAACGACATGACTCCCAATATTAATTAAAATGCTTTTATGGATTTAGAAAATATTTTTATTGATTTAAAACATAGTTCTATGTATTGATTTAAATTTACATGCATCCGCTAAGAAAAATTGTCCGTTGTTACCGTTTTTTAAACAGTCAGAATGAAACGGCAGCTCTCAGCTGTGTGTTCACACTCCTAACTCTGATCTTTCTTTTCCAACAGTTAAGTTAACTGTAGGTTACTCTGAGTGACAAGCTTACAGTTAGTGAAGTAACACTTTTTTTTTTGTGAGTCACGACCTCGCTGTTTCATTCTAACATAACGCTCCAAATATGACTGTTTCCACTCGGACTTCAATACAGCAACACCATTGTTTGGTTTCCATGGTAGCGTGTCTCTTTAGTAGCGTGCACTCCTTTCCTGTAAATTACAGGTCCAGCCAGGCAAAACAGTAATATGAAATATGAACGTTAGTTTTTAACTGAAATGATCAAATAAAGTCAAAATGTCACAGTGTTTACAAACATTGACCATACCGTTCACCAGCCCCCACCCCACTCTTTGTTTAAAACGAATTGGCCATCGGAATGTGTGTGTCCCAACCCCCCCCTGTGATATCTCTTCACAGGGGGGAGAGAGTTAGACGCTCGTGAATTGTCAACGGGGGGGGGGTCTCTCTGCACGGAGGAGCCGCGGAGAAGTGAATCACAGTGATCTGCTATTTTAAAGTAAATTCAACACATATCGACCCTAAATATAGCATATATTAAGAACGAGAAAGTGTTAACATCGTTTTTTGTAAACATATGACCAATGTGCGAGGGTGATGACATCAGAGCATCGTCCTATGGGCTTAGCCCCGGACAGGTACAACAGGTATTCACTCAGAGGGGGGTAGTTACCCATTTACATGTCAAAAAGCAACATACAGTAGGCGGGTGGGGGATGGTGAACGTTTACATTTCTCTACAGCAGTGGTTCCCAAACTTTTTGTGCCCAAGGCACACCAAAGGACAAGTAAAAATCTCAAGGCACACCTATTGTGCGAAATAGCCCTTATAACACGTGTTATCACTCATATCATGTAAAATATCTGTAAATGTGCATAATTATTTACTAATGCCAAATAAAATGTATAGATAGAACAATCAGTGGTTCAAGTTAGTATATTCCTCAGTGTAACATATCCACTAGTTGCAAAGCTTAAACATTTTTATATATTTTTTTATTTTAAGGGAAAGGATGTTTTCACTACTCAGTTTGTCAACTATGTTACGGACAAACTTGATGTCATTACAATCATTTGATTAAGTCCTGCACTTCAAGTAAAATCAAATTTGAAAGGCTCTTGAGTCTATTCTACCATATATCCAAAGATTTTTTAAAGTTTAAAAAATAATTGTATTAAAGTTTTGTTTTTTCATGTGATATGTTCAGCACTGTCATTAAGTTTAGGGATATTTTGTATTATAAAACTACCATACAGGTCATTTTGATAGTTTTAAGAGATGTCATGTAAAACTCCAACCTGTGTAGATATACATTATACTATAAAGGATATCAGAAGCACTATTTTAGATATTTTAAATTTGAAAAAATGAGGTGCAACATAGTTGACAATGAAAGTCAAACATTTGACGCAAATAACATAGTTGACTGGACACATTATTAACCATCAGCACTATGTTAATTTCAAGGCAGAAGTGCAAAATTCCATTGATAATGATGTGTAATGACGTCTACATGTCGTACAAATTGTCAACTAGGTTACCTGTCAACTAAGTTACTACAGTTATTACAGTACTGGGTAACTTAGTTGACAGGTAACCTAGTTGACAATTTCCCTATTTTGACCCATCATTTCAATGGTAGGCCTTGCCTGGATGACCACATGTCATTTTCTTGAACAGGTTAACATCACATTTGCACATATAATTGAATTAAAATCATTAAACAATTGTAAACCATAACAATGTACGTAACATTGTTGATTGTCAATGAGTATATTAATTGACCATGTGCTATTATACATAAAATATTGTAAAAATGTAGAGGACAATCACCACAGTGTGTTCAAAATGTCTGCCAAAGAGGAACATGGCATCATGTGATGCTGGTGACATGGTATTGGGACAAACAATTTTTGAGTTAAAGGGGGAAGTTCTGTTAGTAACATAGTTGACAGAACTTTTGCGGACATTCATATATTAAGATATTTAAATTATTTAAAGGGGGAAATCAATTAAAAATATGTTATTATTCTTTAGTATTTAGACTTTTGAAATAAATGAATCATTTTTTAAATTTACTTTAATGGTTTTTATTCATTATTTTGAATCCAAGACACCCTCAACTGAAAAACGGACATAGCAAAAACTGACAATTTAAGAACATCATGACACATTTCAAGCTAAATAAAGCATAGGATGCACATAATGTTTGTGTGATATTATAACATGCTTTCCAATAATAGGCAAAATATGATATTTTTGAAGAAAATAGTTAGAATAATTATAATTATCATCAATGGACATCAATGGACATGGAATGTACCCTAAATTGTAGAATCACTCAGCAGTTACATACACCAAACCTTCCAGTTATATTCCTATCAATATTATGAAGGCTTTTACAGAAGGGTTTGGTCATATATAATTCATAGCCTGAATTATATAACATTTTATACCTAAAAACATGGTGAAAATTGATATTTTAGGGCTGTTGACAGTATTTTCTGATTTATGGAGTGATACAAAGAGATATCCAAAATCCCTTCTGTAAAAGCCTTAGATACTAATATGACTACAAAATGAAACAATAATTTTGATCCTGGCTTTATCCAAAGTTCAGATTTCGGTTCCTGAAATGTGTTAAAATATGCGCATATTTCATGAGATAATGGTTCATTTGGATATTTAAACATGCTATTTCAGAAAACTTGTAATACAAAAAACAATTGCCTTATTGTAAGTAATTAACTGGAGAAATATTTAGCTGATATCTTTAAGTTAAAAATACCCTATTCACCTGGGGTGTCTCGCCTTAATTAGATGTTTGATAAGTGCAGATCACATAGTAAAACACGTACACAGATACATTATTTTGTATTTTTATTAAATTCGACAATGTCAATTTCACTTTCCACTATGTCCACCGTTGTTTTTCACAACCAATGGCAGAACTTTATTGAGGCCTGTAATTAGTCAACTACAGGTCTCTTGAGTCAGTCTTTTTCTTCCAAAAAGCTTGTGACAAGATGTTATTGCTCTTGGGGCATTAAAAACAAGATTTTAACTTTAGTTTTTTATATAATATCTGCATTTTCTATTGTGAAAAACTAAGTCTTAGTTATTTAATATATAGCGCCATCTCCTGGTTAAACCCTGAAATTGGAGAATAGTGGGAGGGCCTAACATTCCTGAATACTGGTCTTTGGCAGGCAACTGGCTGGCAACTGGCTGGCAGTCGGCAGGAAGCTGTATGCTGGGGTCCAAAATAAGAGGCTCCATCTGTAGGACCAGATTTGAGTTTAACGCAGATTTAGGGTTTATACCGTACGGAATAGAAGAAGGAACCATAGTTGGAACGCGCTCCCCATTCATCATGGTTGGGGTAATGTAATGCAAAGTTTGGATGTTTTTCCACGTAATTTTCTTTAAATAATTTTTTTTAACTTATTTATTTAAAAATAAATGTTTAACTCATTATTCTCTTTTTTTTACTTATTAATTTCTTTTTTTTAGAAACTTCCCTGACACCCCGTATACAGAATGGATTCCTAAAGTTCCTTTCCTCCCCGAACTTCATATTAAAGTCTTGTTGTTTCTCCACCCAGGCGCCGGAGCCGGAGACGTTGGAGTCGTCATCGTCGACTCAAACGCCCGGCGGGACACGGTGGAGATCGTGCTGGAGAACAAGGGGGACAGTATTTTCCGTTGCACCTACATTCCCGTCCTGGAGGGGGCGCACACCGTCTGCGTGACATTTGCCGGGCAGCAGATTCCCAGAAGCCCCTTCACCGTGAACATCTCAGAGCGTAGGTTTCAAACCAGTCTGCTCTCCATGGTCCTTAAAAACATCAATGTTTTAATATTTTTATGAATTACTTTCCATGTAACATCAACCAGAAACTGATGTGGTGTGGCATGACTTTCTAATCAGAGTCACATTGACATCTGAAATCCTGACTAACCTTTTTTAAAGTTTTTGATTTCCACAGCAGTTAAATCTGCAGATCCTGCTCCATGGCGGTCTACTGGTGGTCTGCCGGTGGTCTGCTGGTGGTCTGCCGGTGGTCTGCTGGTGGTCTGCTGGCGGTCTACTGGTGGTCTGCTGGTGGTCTACTGGTGGTCTGCCGGTGGTCTGCCGGTGGTCTGCTGGTGGTCTGCCGGTGGTCTGCTGGTGGTCTGCTGGTGGTCTGCTGGTGGTCTGCCGGTGGTCTGCCGGTGGTCTGCCGGTGGTCTGCTTGGTGTTTGACTGTTGGACGGAGAGTAATGGGTCTTTGGATGGACTTTATCCTTTCCTATCTTTGATGTGGTCCCTATCTTTCCTGATAGGTCTCAGATCATATTCCAGACTTGGCTGTAAGGGGTTGGGCGGACAGTTTGTTGTCAATCGACGGAGTGCAATGTCAGTAATTGAATGATCTGCTTGTGAAAATAGACAGAAGGACTAAAGAGCGTGTAGGAACGGCCTCTAACCATATCGCTGAGACTCTCTGTCCGGGGACATTAATAAGGATCAGACTTGGATTTTGATACCCAGACTTCAGGGTTCCTGTTCCAGATCGTGATCTAGTCCGACTGAGGTTCAGACTCTCTGAAAGGGACATTTCAAGACTTAACTTTGGACTCGACTTAAGCTTCATGACTTGTCTTGCTTCTTTGGCACTTGCTTTATCACTTAGGGTGTGCTTGTCTTGGTTTTTCAATATTACATGTCTTTATTCAGTTAGCCCTACACTGGCCAGTCCTGATGAAACCAGTAAGACTTGAAACCTTCTGTCAGGATCTGGTCATAGAGCCAGTCGGACTTGACTTAGAACTTGTACATCTTGGAACCTAACTTGGGAATGTCCAATTTTGATTTGGGACTCTAGACTTGTTTCTGTCGAGACCTGACTTGAGACTTGCTGGTTTGAAGGTCTCAGGGTTTTAGGGGTTTGGTGGGTCTGGATGTCTGGTGGTCTGGAGGGTTACAGTTGTGGAGGTTTGGAGGTCGGAGGGTCTAGAAATGTGCAGTTTTTGATGTCTAGGTGTTTGGAAGTTTGAAGGTTTGTTCGTCTAGTGGTCTAGAGTTTCTGGGTCTACACGTTTACGATGTCTGGAGGTCTGGAGGCCTTTATTCCTGGAGGCCTTGATCCCTTGAGGTCTGGAGGTCTAGATGTTTGGAGGCCTTGATTCCTGGATGTCTTGATTCCTTGAGGTCTGGAGGTGTAGATGTTTGGAGGTCTAGATGTTTGGACTCTTGCAGGTCTGGAGGTCTCCGTCTCTTCTTGAGTACAAATGCTTGCCCCCTGTTGTCCCTCCTGCAGTTTCACAGATTGCCCTCCCCCCCACTGGGTCTCCGGTGCATAGAGAGCCAGTCTCTGTGCCTCAGACCGCCTGCACCCCCCCCTCAGACCGGACCCGGAGAGCCCCCCCCCCCTCCAACGCCACCTCGATCCAGGCGACCAAGTTAGTACAGGCTGGGCTGGGGGGGGGGGAGGTTACCTGAACCTGAGCCTGGTTTCCTTCAACCTCTTCCTGGGGGCCGCTTCACAGCATGAGCAGCTTCTTCTTCTGCTGAGTGAATGTGTGTAGACCTGCTGCGGTCCGACTACCAGGTGTACTTTAGTTTATCCAAAACACAAGCAGCTACCAGGTGTACTTTAGTTTATCTAAGACACAAGAACTCTTCTCAATATCAACTGAAACTGAAAAAAATATTAAAAAGTAATTGGGCATTTACATTTATTTTTCAAAATGTTTCTAAGTTTTTGGGATTTTTTTTTTTTCACGTATATTTTATTTCTTTATTTTTTCACATTGAAATGTCTTTTTGGAAAGGTTGGACATTTCTGTTGAACATTTTTTGGACTTTTACATATTTTTTGACAATTTCTACAATATTTTTGTTATAAACTTTCTTTCACGTATTTTTTTTACATCTTACAAAAAAAGTTTGGGATATTCTTTTTTTTAACATTTGGTGATTGTTCGGATTAAAGAACATTTCCAAAAATATTAACAATAAGACATTAAACGTCACAAAAAAATGCAATTACATTTATATATTTTTTGTAATATATATTTTTTATAAATATATATTTTTTCACATATATCTTTTATATTTAAAAAAAAGTTTGACATTCTTTTTTTTTACATTTGTTGATTGTTCGGATTAAAGAACATTTAAAAAATATGTTGAACAAGACATTAACCTTAATATTTGGATGCTTCACAGTTCAGATTGTCTCCAGTCAATTCAAACACCAGAACTAATGCATTTAACGAGTGAATGTGAACATTATTTTACACATTGGCCTTCATCCTCTTCATCCTCCTCTTCCTCATAACCCTAACCCTGCTCCTCCTGTTCTCCACGTTTAAATGCTGCTTTTCGCTCTGTTTGTATAAACATGTCTATAACCCTTCAGCTTCACAGGGAGCCTCTGCTTCACGGTCAAAGTCTGAACGCTTGCAATTACATTTTGTAACGTCGTTATCTCAAGATCACGAGTTAACTTTCCCTTTATCCCCACAAGGATAAAAGGTTTATTATATATTCATTTCCCAGAAACAACGGGCAGATTTCTTCACATGACGACTTTATTTATCACGAGGAAAGCAACGAGACATGATGTCGTGTCTTCCGGATCGAAGTGAGAGAAAACCATCTTTTGTTTTCGGCGATAAAGGCTTCATTACCTCTGGGTTTTTACAAATAACGAGACATTTAACTCGTGTTCATGAGATAACAGCAACCTTCTCTCCTTCCATATGTCTCCAACAGTTCTCCTGATAATAACATCTATGTTATAAACAGTCTGATTGATCTGGTTCATCTGCGCTGCTTCTCTTTCAGCTTCAAACAGCAAACTGCTTCAGCTCAGATCAGCTGACTAACACAGATACACTGTGTCTCTGTGTGTGTGTGTGTGTGTGTGTGTGTGTGTGTGTGTGTGTGTGTGTGTGTGTGTGTGTGTGTGTGTGTGTGGTGTGTGTGTGTGTTTATTCCTGGTTCACTATATTTAGTTTAAGACTTGTGACATGTCGTACCCCTCGGGGTCAGTTTAGGAGATCTAATAATGGACTCATTATAAGATCAGAACGAGATGTTCAAAGGTCAGTGAGGTCTAATCTAAGCCTCCTTTGTTTACGTCCAGAGTGAAGTCTAAAGAGACCAATTAGTCAAATATGAAAACCCTAAGAGATTTTCACTTTTTGTAGCTTGTCAACGCGGCCTTGATTAAGACACTTGAGTTACGTTGTGTGTCTCTCGGTGAGAGTGTAGAAAGTATAATATGAATATAAAAAGCCAAATAAGAAAGATATGAAAACCCTAATAGATTTGAATCTAAACTAAACTTATTTTTATGGTAGCTTGTCAACGCGGCCCAACATTAAACCACTAGAGTTACAGTCCACCGCTGCGTGTCTGTTGGTGTGCGTGTTTCTGTTTTATCATCACATTAATATGACTTCAATCTAATAATGGACTCATCATAAGATCAGAAAGAGATGTTAATAGATCACATGATGTTTAATCTAAGCCTCCATTGGGCTCCTTTGTTTACTTCCAGATTGAACTATGGACATTTGGATTGGAGAAAATAATATGAAAAGCCCAAATAGTCAAATATGAAAACCCTGAGAGCTTTGTGTAGTTTGTCAACGCGGCCCAGATTAAGACTCTTTCGTTCCACTGTGTGTTTGACGGTGTGAGTGTTTCTGTGTTATCATTATATATATATTTGACCTCCCGGTCTAACCCCTCCTCTCCTCCTCTAACAGCCTGTAACCCGAACTCGTGCCGGGCGTCGGGTCGCGGTCTGCAGCCGAAGGGTCTGCGGGTCAAAGAGGTCGCCGATTTCAAAGTCTACACGAAAGGAGGCGGCAGCGGCGAGCTCATCGTCACAGTGAAGGGACCGAGTAAGACTGCGTTAGATATATTTATATTCTATCTGAAGAACCCTGTGGAGGAAACTCTTCAGAGACACTGATCAATGATTCATGGACAAAGTTTGTCTTTTGTTATATTTAATAAAGTAATAAAGAAAGTGGATATAAAGTGAGATGGATCTGAAGAGCAGGAGCAGAGCAGCTTCCTCCTCAGAGGAGAGAGAAGCTCTGCTTTCAGTCTCTCTGTGTGTTCATGAGAGGAACCAGCTGCTCCTCCATCCCATCATCAAACCATCAAACCTCCAGTCCTTAACCATTTGTTAATCCACCTTTCACTTCCTTTACCTCCTGAAATGTAAACCCTTAACTTCTGTCTCTGCTCAACACACCAGACTAACAATACAATTTAACAGAGTATAAGACTTTATGTTTTAAATGATGATATGATATCCATTGATGCTTTCTTGTGACCGCAGAAGGCCTGGAGGAGCCGGTGAAGGTGCTGGAGATCGAGAGTGGGGTTTTTGAGTGTAATTACTATCCCATAATGACCGGGAAACACATCGTGACCGTCACCTGGGGGGGGCACGGCATCCCACGCAGGTGAGACAGTCAGGTTATTCTATTATTATAACATGTTAGCATCACAATTAACCAATCTGAGAAACCACATCCCTTCAAAAGGAGTTTAATGTTCGTGGTTTAGAGACATTTAAGAAGTAAAGAGGACCCAGGATTGAACCCTGAGGTACTCCAGTGGATAAAGCAGAGCAAAGTTACACGTTTAAAAAAAGATAATGGTGCTAATTATATTTTATAATTTTTATTAATTAATTAACATTTCTGTTTTATTTTTTTCATGAAAACTAAAAAAATAAGAACTATAATATATTGGTATTACTTCTTAGTAATCCTTTGCTTGTAACATCACGTCATGTTTTTATCGTTTTAAAATCTGTCTATATGGGATTATAATATATGTGTGTGTGTGTGTGTGTGTGTGTGTATGTGTGTGTGTGTGTGTGTGTGTGTGTGTGTGTGTGTGTGTGTGTGTTCAGTCCGTTCGAGGTGCAGGTGAGCGAGGAGGCGGGGCCTCAGAAGGTGAGGGCCTGGGGTCCGGGTCTGGAGACAGGTGTAGTCGGGAAGAGTGCTGACTTTGTGGTGGAGGCCATCGGCACGGAGGTGGGGACTCTCGGTACGTAACAACGAAACATCGGAGAGTTCACACGCTTCTTAATCGGACATTTACGCTCTCAGAGAATATAGAAGTTTATCCGGTGTGTTTCTGCAGGTTTCTCCATCGAGGGTCCGTCTCAGGCGAAGATCGAGTGCGACGATAAAGGCGACGGGTCATGTGACGTTCGGTACTGGCCCACGGAGGCCGGAGATTACGCCGTGCACGTGATCTGTGACGACGAGGACATCAAGGACAGTCCGTTCATGGCCCACATCCTGCCCGCCAACAACGACGTCTACCCGGAAAACGTAGGACCAAAAACCTGAACATTTGTGGAGGAAGTTCCCTTCAGAGAAACTGATCAATGAGTCGTGGACAAAGTTTGTCTTTTGTTATATTTAATAAAGTAATAAAGAAAGCCAAAGTGAAATGGATCTGAGATGCAGGAACAGAGCAGCTTCATGCTCAGAGGAGAGAGAGGTTCTGAACCCAGAATACAATAACAGCCACACTTTCACTTCATGAAAGGAAGCAGCCAACTGGCCCCGCCCATAGACCACCTCAGGCTTTCCTAAACACCCCCACCATTAAACCATCTAACCCCTAGTCCTTTAACCATTTGCAAATATCTTTTACCCCCCGGTCCTTAACGTCTGTTACACACATACAAGACCAACAAATACAATTGAACAGAGTACAATACATAATATATGCTTATATGTGATAATATGATAATAAATGATGATATAATAATTTGACACAACAAACATGGATCTGGTTTCCTGTAAAGGTAACGTGTGTATATGATGTTTCGTCCTCAGGTGAAGTGCTTCGGTCCCGGTCTGGAGCCTCTCGGCTGCATCGTGAACAAAGCGGCAGACTTCACCATCGACACCAACGGAGTGGGACGAGGAGAGCTGAAGCTTTACGCTCAGGTACCAACAAACACTATCCATTCTTTATTCATAACGTGTTGTTCGTACCTGCGCCGTGAAGATGGCTGCATCGTCTTTGGCTCCTCTCCAACTCTGACTTTTTTTCGTATTATTTCGTGTGCTTTTAACACTTTGATCTGTTTTATTGTTGGAGCATGAGACCTCAGAGTGTCTTTGTCATTTCTACACTGTAGCTCTGACAATGAAAGCCTTGAATCTTCAGCGTTATTGAAGTGTGTGTTTGTGCTTCCAGGACGCAGAGGGACTCCCCATCGACATCCAGATCACAGAGCGAGGAGACAGCTCCTTCGTCTGCGTCTACATTCCCACCAAACCCATCAAACACACCATCATCATCACCTGGGGGGAGGTCAACGTGCCCAGCAGCCCCTTCAGGGTACTACAAGACCCCATCATCTGCACCACCAGAGCTAACTGATGAGTCCTCAACTATCTCAACAGTTGATATATTGTCAAAACAACATCTTTAATTGTTGTTTCCAGCCTCTAGAATATGAATATTTCCCGCTTTACACGATTCTAAATCATTTTAAAGGGAATTTCTTTGGATTTTGCACATTTTGATTTCACTCCGGGACTAAGATTTATGTATAAGGATGCAGACAAAAAGACAAATGCAAGAAATATGACCATTAAATAACAGATAATGGAAAGAATTTATGACAATACTTTTAAATAAACAACATTTAATTTTGTATTTGAGGTAGAATGTGATTTGCACTTATTGTGAACCGATGCAGTTCGTATCTTTGTTGATGCGATTGCTATTTTCACGAGTTTTTCTGTCTGAATGAACCGTGCTCGTTGGGTCCAGGTGACGATCGGAGAAGGCAGCCACCCGGAGAACGTGAAGGTTTACGGTCCGGGCGTGGAGAAAGCCGGCCTGAAGGCCAACGAGCCCACCTACTTCACGGTGGACTGCAGCGACGCCGGGCAGGGTGGGTCCTCTAAATCAATATCATCTAATTCAATGTTATTTGTATATTACATTTACCAGAAACAGCCCCACCCGTCTATTTTATTTTTAGACAATATGTTTATTCATTTTTCATTTTTTTAAACAACATAGTGGATTCCCATTGTTCTCATTTCTCAGCATGTTTGACACGCTAACATGATCTCACAGTTGAGTAAACCCAAACCCTATCAAAGGTTTCATTTTTCCTTTTCAGAATATACGTTATCTTCTCCTTAGAACAGCAATGACTCTTTTCCCTCAGCCGTCGGCCCGCCTGTGGCCTCGGATGTTCCTCCATGCCCGCCTGTGGCCTCGCATGTTCCTCCATGCCCGCCTGTGGCCTCGCATGTTCCTCCATGCCCGCCTGTGGCCTCGCATGTTCCTCCATGCCCGCCTGTGGCCTCGCATGTTCCTCCATGCCCGCCTGTGGCCTCGCATGTTCCTCCATGCCCGCCTGTGGCCTCGGATGTTCCTCCATGCCCGCCTGTGGCCTCGGATGTTCCTCCATGCCCGCCTGTGGCCTCGGATGTTCCTCCATGCCCGCCTGTGGCCTCGCATGTTCCTCCATGCCCGCCTGTGGCCTCGCATGTTCCTCCATGCCCGCCTGTGGCCTCGCATGTTCCTCCATGCCCGCCTGTGGCCTCGGATGTTCCCTCCATGCCCGCCTGTGGCCCGATGGTCCTCCATGCCCGCCTGTGGCCTCGCATGTTCCTCCATGCCCGCCTGTGGCCTCGGATGTTCCTCCATGCCCGCCTGTGGCCTCGCATGTTCCTCCATGCCCGCCTGTGGCCTCGGATGTTCCTCCATGCCCGCCTGTGGCCTCGCATGTTCCTCCATGCCCGCCTGTGGCCTCGGGTGTTCCTCCATGCCCGCCTGTGGCCTCGGATGTTCCTCCATGCCCGCCTGTGGCCTCGCATGTTCCTCCATGCCCGCCTGTGGCCTCGGGTGTTCCTCCATGCCCGCCTGTGGCCTCGCATGTTCCTCCATGCCCGCCTGTGGCCTCGGATGTTCCTCCATGCCCGCCTGTGGCCTCGCATGTTCCTCCATGCCCGCCTGTGGCCTCGGGTGTTCCTCCATGCCCGCCTGTGGCCTCGGATGTTCCTCCATGACAAGGCTTGGAGTAAACACATGTTTATGAGATGCTTTTTAGTCTTTGTAATGACTGAGATCTTGCTCCACCCATCTCTTTAGAACAACCTAACATTTGGTGGTAACTCCATAAAACAATATTTGTGCTAAATTCTGATATTTGAAGGTGAGTTATTTCTGTTATTTCTGTTATTGCCTGCAGGGGACGTCAGCATCGGGATAAAGTGCGCTCCGGGCGTTGTCGGTCCGGCGGAGGCCGACATCGACTTCGACATCATCAAAAACGACAACGACACGTTCACGGTGAAATACACGCCCCCCGGCGCCGGGCAGTACACCATCATGGTGCTGTTCGCTGACCAGGTGAGGTTTTGATTTTTTATAAAAAGTGAGATTTTTTGAGATTTTGAGGAAAAATTCAACATTTTTACATTTTAGAAAAAGTCAGAATTTTTGAGATTTTGAGGAAAAAGTCAACAATTTTGAGATTTTGAGAAAAAGACAGAATTTTGAGATTTTGAGAAAAAGTCAGATTTTTTTAGAAAAAGTCAACATTTTTAGAAAAAGTGAGAAGTTTTGAGATTTTGAGGAAAAAGTCAACATTTTTGAGATTTTGAGAAAAAGACAGAATTTTGAGATTTTGAAAAAAAGTCAGATTTTTTAGAAAAAGTCAACATTTTTAGAAAAAGTGAGAAGTTTTGAGATTTTGAGGAAAAAGTCAACATTTTTGAGATTTTGAGAAAAAGACAGAATTTTGAGATTTTGAGAAAAAGTCAGATTTTTTAGAAAAAGTCAACATTTTGAGAAAAAAACAGAATTTTGCGATTTTGAGAAAAAGTCAGAATTTTTAGATTATCAGAAAAAGTCAGAACCGGTATTCCTCCATCTTGTGACTGTGTAACTCCCTCTCTTGGATATCAGCATGTGAAGGACACTGTTCAGGAACTAGTTGATGCTCTGTATGTGATGACTCCTTCCATTCTGGAGAGGATCACAGATACATGGATCCTGAGGTTGAAGCTCAAGCCGGTGACCAGTGAGAGTTTTCTAACACACTTTTATTTAAAAACAACATGTTAATGAAAAACCTTTAACACCACAACAGGAAATTCCCATCAGCCCCTTCAGAATAAAAGTGGACCCTTCCCATGATGCAGCGAAGGTCAGAGCAGAAGGACCCGGACTCAGCAAGACAGGTAATAATAATAATAATTCCTTGTATTTATTATTGCGCTTTTCCAGAGCGCTTTACAAATACACATTACACACATATCATACAACGGTCATGTAGTGTGGACAATACCCACATCTCCTCTCCTCTCCTCTCCTCTCGTCTCCTCTCGTCTCCTCTCCTCTCCTCTCCTCTCCTCTCCTCTCCTCTCGTCTCGTCTCGTCTCCTCTCCTCTCCTCGTCTCGTCTCGTCTCGTCTCGTCTCGTCTCGTCTCGTCTCGTCTCGTCTCGTCTCGTCTCGTCTCGTCTCGTCTCGTCTCGTCTCGTCTCGTCTCGTCTCGTCTCGTCTCGTCTCGTCTCGTCTCGTCTCGTCTCGTCTCGTCTCGTCTCGTCTCGTCTCGTCTCGTCTCGTCTCGTCTCGTCTCGTCTCGTCTCGTCTCGTCTCGTCTCGTCTCGTCTCGTCTCGTCTCGTCTCGTCTCGTCTCGTCTCGTCTCGTCTCGTCTCGTCTCGTCTCCTCTCCTCTCCTCTCCTCTCCTCTCCTCTCCTCTCCTCTCCTCTCCTCTCCTCTCCTCTCCTCTCCTCTCCTCTCCTCTCGTCTCCTCTCCTCTCCTCTCCTCTCCTCTCCTCTCCTCTCCTCTCCTCTCCTCTCCTCTCCTCTCCTCTCCTCTCATCTCCTCTCCTCTCCCCTCTCCTCTCCTCTCCTCTCCTCTCCTCTCCTCTCCTCTCTCTTCCCCTCTGCAGGCGTGGAGGTGGGCAAACCGACCCACTTCACCATCTTCACTAAGGGAGCTGGTAAAGCCCAGCCGGAGGTGCATTTCACCGGCGCCGCTAAAGCAGACGCCGTCAGAGACTTCGAGATCATCGACAACCACGACTACTCGTACACCGTGCGCTACACCTCCATACAACAGGTGGAGTAACACATGCTGTGTGAGCCGGGTGTTACAAATACACCAGTTAGAGACTCAAAGGTGTTCTCATCACATGCTCAGCAGCTTCAGAGTAGACACTCTTCTGACCTGAGCTCCTCCAACGATGCAACATATATCATAAAATACAAAAATACAAATACAAAATATTGCAAGAAGTCTCTATCCATGTGAATAGAATCTGATATGTACAAGAACAGAATATGAAATTAAATATTGTACATTAAGACAACATTAAATACGGTTTATTGCAGTGATACTGTTATACTGAGCCAGGTAGGGCTGTTACAAACACACACACATTGGAATATAAAGTAGTGTATGGTCTGCATAGAGACTGCACTCTTTAGGGTTGTAAACAAACAGAGGTTAAAACACAACATCTTGGTGGAAACAACTTCACATTTGCCCCACTCCAAAACCTGGATCAAATCGGTAAAAACAGCATCCGTTCAGGCGTAAACCTGACTGATAACCCGTTGCTGACTGGATGTTTGTGTCTTCCAGGGGAACATGTCGGTCACGGTGTGTCACGGAGGAGACCCCATCCCCAAAAGTCCCTTCAACATCAGCGTGGCCCCCCCACTCGACCTCAACAAGGTCAAGGTTCAGGGTTTGAACAACAGTGAGTACGGCAGACAGGAAACGGAAAGCTTTTATCAAACAGGAAGTCAGCTTCAGTTTCAGAGCGACAGACATCCTGCGTTCAGGTCGACGTCACAACTTAAACATTTCAGTGTGAGATACGTGTGGGGACTTTTAGACAGTCAGCACGAAATGCTTTTTAATATATCACCCTTTATCTCGAAGGGACAGCAGAAATGTGACGGAAAGTCATATTGTGACAAAGATTCTAAGTTGACATGAGAAATACTAGATAAAAACACTTTAAGTCATAAAAACACTCGCTGACCCCTCCCCTTTAAAAGACCCTGTAGTTTGCCATATACTCATTTTTCTAAGTGTTAATGTTTCTTTGCTTTTAAGGTTGTTTCTATGGTTACATTTACATTTGGTGTAAATACTTGCTCTTTAGCATCCTTTTTGAATGCTAAATTGTTTTGTAAAAAAACATATTTTTTATTATCCTTATATATATTATATATATATCTATTTTAGTTTTGAACTACTTTGCAACTTATTTTCTGAGATGGTTTCTGTCCGCACCACCAGAGACCAAAGCAGATTCCTTGTATGTGTAAACGTGGTTTCTGTGCGCCCTGAAAGAGGTGGACGTGGGGAAGGACGAGGAGTTCTCCATCAGCACTCAGGAGGCGGGAGGTCAGGGTAAACTGGAGGTGAAGATCACCTCTCCGTCACGCCGGCCAATCCCCTGCAAGCTGGAGTCGGGCTCGGCCAATGAGCTGCACTCTGTGAAGTACATCCCCCCCGAGGAGGGGCAATACCGCGTGGACATCGTCTACGACGGGAACCCCGTTCCTGGGAGTCCGTTCAGCGTGGAGGGCGTGATGCCGCCGGACCCTTCAAAGGTCAGAGACGTTCTCTGAGAGCTTCTTTTCATATTTCCTCCAAAAAGAATTCATGCACATCTGAACTAAACCAAAACACAACTTCCATTAAAGCTCAAGTTGTATCACATCGTCTCATTTAGCTGCAAACCTTCTGTTACGTTCTGTTTATTTTCAGTTTTATGTTTGAATTATCACAGTCTGTCAGTTTCATGTTTGACTTTGAAAGGTGTTCACCGCCTGTCTGTCATGTCTGTATTAGTTTCCTGTCTGTGTTTCCCCTCCTGTCTGATGATCTGATTCTGTTCACCTGAGGCCTGAGACATCAACAGGTTTATGATATCACTGCCCCGTCTAAGACACGATCTGACTTTAATTACATTTGACTCGAGTGTTTCGTCAACTTAATGTGTTGCTTAAAATAATACTTCTGCATACAGTATGTGACACTGTGAGTGTTGCACGGCCAGATACGGCTCAGCTGACTCAGATAAGGAAATATATGATACATTATGCTAGGGCTGTGCGATTATGGCAAAAATCATAATCTCGATTATTTTGGTCAATAATTGATATCACGATTATTAAAAACGATTATCCATTTACTTTGAAAACATCCATATATTGAAAAAAAAAATGTGAACAGTATGTTTTTAACAGTTGATTACCCTGAACTTTAAGTATAATTCAACTGAAAAACCAATAAAAAAAAATAAAAAATAATTTTTTTTTTTTTTTTTAATAAAAATAATAATCGTTTTATTTCGATTACATTGTTTTCGTAATCGTTGCAAGCCAAAATCGTAATCGAGATTAAAATACGATTAATTGCACAGCCCTACATTATGATGTGATATGATATGAATGATAATGGGACACATCGACGTCTGCACTCACAGTGCCGCGGACTGTACGTAATGTTACTCTGATCCGGTTACTTATGTTGTGGCAGATATTTAAGTAAGCTTTCTTAACGCTAATGTTATAATAGTCAGATTGCTCTGAAGATGGGAGGAGGGGATATTCTATTAATGTTCACGTTCACACAGTCAGTTGATTTTTGCCGGCCGTCTTTCCTGCAACGGCAGTTTTTCTGTATTTCCTCTATCCTGTAATATGACTTGATCGCTTTAAACTCCGCACACGGAGCTCTGATTGGTCAGCAGGCGGTGCTTTCACTGAGTTGATCTCTTAGCCTGCAACCTAACCTCCTCCCGAGCAGGTTAGCCATTCAGCATCAGTTACCATGGCGATCTAGCCTGCTAAAAAGAGAACCAGCGTCGTAGGACCGGAAAGCCAGAGTTTACCTGAAGTCAGCTAAGAGAACATCCGGCTTCGTAGTACAGGCCTCTGGTCTCTTTGTGTTTTCCCTCTCCTGCGGTGTCTTGTCCTCTTGATTGGTCATGTATAAGTTCTGGTTTCCTGTTGGGGTTCTGCGGGTTCTTTTTCAAACTAAGAGGGAAAGAGAGTTCTTGTCTGTTTTTGCACATCCAGTCTCCTTGAATAAAGGTTCTTTTTGGTTGAACCACTTGTCCGTCTGCACTTGGGTCCATCCTCTGCTGCTCAATCCTTCTTCCAACAATCTCCCCCAACTCATCCCTGTTCCTCATATCAACAAACTTTACCATCTCTGTTTCCCCCCAGGTGCGAGCGTACGGTCCGGGTCTCCAGGGGGGGGTTGTGGGTAAACCGGCCCCCTTCGCCATCGACACAAAGGGAGCCGGTACCGGTGGTCTGGGTCTGACGGTGGAGGGTCCCTGCGAGGCCAAGATCGAGTGCCAGGACAACGGGGACGGGTCCTGCTCCGTGTCCTACCTCCCCACGGAGCCCGGGGAGTACGCCATCAACATCCTGTTCGCAGACCAGCACATCCCCGGGTCCCCCTTCAAAGCTGCTGTTCAGGCGGCCTTCGACCCCAGCCAGGTGACGGCCAGCGGACCAGGTACTGTTCTTTACCTCTGTGATTTGGTCTGTTCTAGCTGTTTGTTTCTCATGAGTCTTGATGTCTGTTGATGTTCCACATGGAGCTGCTGGGATGTTCCACATGGAGCTGCTGGGAGGCAAGGAGCATCTCAGACTTCATCTGACCACTAAAGTGTTATCCTATCGTAGGTCTGGAGCGAGGGAAGGTGAACGAGGACGGCTCCTTCACGGTGGATTGCTCTAAAGCCGGAGAAGCTGAACTCACCATCGAGATCCTCTCTGACTCTGGGGCCAAGGCGGAGGTCCGAGTGCAGAACAACGGCGACGGGACGTACTCCATCACCTACACCCCGCAGAGCCCCGGCATGTACACCATCACCATCAAGTACGGAGGCCACGCCGTGCCCGAGTTCCCCGCCCGGCTGCAGGTGGAGCCGAGCGTGGACGCCAGCGGGGTGAAGGTGCACGGGCCGGGGGTGGAGCCACGAGGTGAGGAGAACGCTTCTCTATCTATAGGTTATAGGCTCTGACAGGTTCACTCAAAGCCCACAAAGATCTACTTATCAAAGTCACAAAGTCAACTTTATTGTCAATCTTTCAGTTTGTGTGTACAGAGAGATCGAAATACCGTCTCCCACAATCCAGAACACAAACATACAAATATATATACATATTAAAGATGAATACAATTAAAGATAACATTTGAAAGTCCACGGGCCGGGGGTGGAGCCGCGAGGTGAGGGAGAGCTTCTATATTTATATGTTAGTATTTTCTTTTAAACAGTATACTAAAATCATCAGGACTTTGCAACAAGTTATTCACTTCATGCCTCATGCCGTATAAAGTCTACATACAGCTGAAGCCTGATAGCTGGTACTTAGCGGCAGCAGACTCTACAGCCATGTTTGGAGCTTGAGAGGTTTCTGTTAGAGAGAGCATGAACACACCCTGCAGCCAGACAGAGACACTGGAGCCTCGTCAGTAGCAGCTTCTCCTGTGACTTTATTAAGTGTCATAATTGACTTCCTCATTACGTCTGACCTTAAATCACCTCAGTCTGGAAGCTAAAGCTGTTTTTACGACATTTCCAATCTGAAAGGTGCCACCATGGAACCATGTAAGGCCGGGCTTCAGTAACACGTCTATTATGGTCAATTCACTTAATTAAGAAATTCAGTAAAACTAAAGGTTGTTTATCATTAAAACTGTCTGCTCTCCTCGACATGTGTTATTGTTCCTTTGGGGGATTATCTCACGTTGTTTCTCGGCTTCCTTATTGTTAGAAACATCTCCCTGGTCCCTAGCTTGATCTTCAATCTCAGGATCCATGTATCTGTGATCCTCTCCAGAATGGAAGTAGTCATCACATACAGAGCATCAACTAGTTCCTGAACAGTGTCCTTCACATGCTGATATCCAAGAGAGGGAGTTACACAGTCACAAGATGGAGGAATAGAAAGCAGTATTCAATGTTTACTTCAGATTAGCTCCACGTCAGAAATGAGCATGCTTGTCATATGTCTCTCTCCATAGAGGCTGAATCATCATGTTAATCACATAGCTATCATATGCCTCAAACAGTCCTGATGCTCTTCTAGGTAATCATACATCCTGTCATGTTCACAGCTGGGATACCTTTGTTAGCATGCTACTCTCATACTGGAAGAGGACACTTACTGTTTCCCCCCCACTGACTTCCTCTCTCCAGGCGTCCTGAGGGAGGTGACCACGCACTTCACGGTGGACGCTCGGGCACACATTAAGAGCGGCGGCAGCCACGTGAAGGTCAGCATCTCCAACCAATCAGGCAGCAGCACGGACGCCTACCTGACGGACCGGGGGGATGGCTGTTACCGGGCGGAGTACACGCCGTACGAGGATGGTGAGGACGGCTTCTCCTTCTCCTTCTCCTTCTCCTTCTCCTTCTCCTTCTCCTTCTGCTTCTCCTTCTCCTTCTCCTTCTCCTTCTCCTTCTCCTTCTCTCTGCTTCTCCTTCTCCTTCTCCTTCTCCTTCTCTCTCCTTCTCCTTCTCCTTCTCCTTCTCCTTCTCCTTCTCCTTCTGCTTCTCCTTCTCCTTCTCCTTCTCCTTCTCCTTCTCCTTCTCCTTCTCCTTCTCCTTCTCCTTCTCCTTCTCCTTCTCTCTGCTTCTGCTTCTGGAGGTTTTTCAACAACAACACATTATAAATGAAAGTTTAATCGCCGTGTGGCTAAGTCGTAAAGATTCCTGTCTTCCCCGCAGAAGAGGGATCTGTGGCTTCAACAATTAAACTGGTGACTGATGTCCACATCGTCAGGGCTTTCTGTCACGAGAAGAGCAACCGCACAATCACTACAAACAACTTGTTAGCATTTGAGTTTGAAACCCAGTTTGAGTTATAAGCCTTTTTCTCTGTCTGCAAACATGGAGGGGGGGGTAAACATGGAGGGGGGGGTAGACATGGAGGGGGGGGGGGTAAACATGGAGGGGGGGGGGGGGTAAACATGGAGGGGGGGGTAAACATGGAGGGGGGGGGGTAAACATGGAGGGGGGGGGTAAACATGGAGGGGGCGCGGGGTAAACATGTAAATAAGGGAACATGTATGTAAAGGTAGAGGCATGACAATAATAGAGCGTCCTGAGCAGTGATGCATGCTGGGAGGTGTGAGGATGAGTCTGTACTAATAGCTGCAGCAGATGCTTTTCCACTGATAGCAATGTGTGACATGCTGCAGTGCATTGTGGGACAGGGATACCCCCCCTGTGGTTCTCTCTCAGACATGCACTGTTATCATTTATTAAAATCGTATTTGTTGGGATCACCCTGGCGTTATATAGAACACATTTAAATGAGTAATAATAATAATATTAAAAAAAAATGTTATAAATGATTAAGATAAAATGTGAAACTTTAGAATCAAAATGTAGACATAATAGACAAATATAAGACATATATAAAAGCACTTCCTCCAGAATGACTTTAGCCTGTAATAAATACAATATTTAACACTAATAATAAACACTATTCTATTAAACCATCAACATGCACCTGAAAGTACAGGTGGAAATGTGAAAGCTAATGAATAAATGTATCTGATAAACTGATGTGTGTGTGCAGGTGTGCATCTGATCGAGGTCCTGTTCGATGAGGTTTCAGTGCCGAAGAGTCCGTTCAGGGTGTCGGTGACGGAGGGCTGCGACCCGAGCCGGGTGCGAGCGTATGGGCCGGGCCTGGAGGAGGGGCTAGTGAACAAATCCAACCGCTTCACCGTGGAGACCAGGTACCTTTAATCACTTACCTGACACAGACCTGGATCCTGAGTCCTGGATCCTGAGTCCTGGATCCTGAGTCCTGGATCCTGAGTCCTGGATCCTGAGTCCTGGATCCTGAGTCCTGGATCCTGAGTCCTGGATCCTGAGTCCTGGATCCTGAGTCCTGGATCCTGAGTCGTGGCTGAACCTGTCACTGAGGTCCTGCCTGACTCTCACCTCACTTCTTCTCTGATGGCTCCCACAGGATTGTTGACATCCTTTTGGATTCATCTTCTTATTATAGACACATGCATTTTCCTTGTCCGATGTGAGGGTCTAAGGACAGAGGGGGGGTCGTATTGATATTCTGTACAAACTGTAAAGTCCACTGAGACTAATGTAACAGTTTTGATATTGGACTATATAAATAAGCATTGATTGATTGATTGACACCTTTATTCGGGGCCTGAGTCTCACTCCCTCTGTCCCGTCTTGCCCTCAGAGGGGCCGGCACCGGGGGGCTCGGACTCGCCATCGAGGGTCCGTCTGAAGCCAAGATGTCCTGCAAAGACAACAAAGATGGCAGCTGCAGCGTGGAGTACATCCCCTTCACCCCGGGGGAGTACGACGTCAACATCACCTTCGGAGGCCTGCCCATCCCAGGTGAGGGATCCAGAACCCTGAATCCAGAACTAAGTGTGAACAGTCTCATGTTTTACAGACTAAACTAACTAACCTCTTGGTTGAGTTGCAGGGAGTCCGTTCAGGGTCCCAGTGAGGGAGCTGGTGGATCCCAGTAAAGTGAAGTGTTCAGGACCCGGTTTGGGGAGCGGGGTCCGAGCCCAGGTCCCTCAGACCTTCACTGTGGACAGCAGTAAGGCTGGGGTGGCCCCTCTGGAGGTCCTGCTGTACGGACCCACAGGTGAAAGCAATTATTTATCTTAACAAAAGGGATGTCTCAAGAACTGATCCTCGTTACAAAGGTGACGGTACTGGTTTCTCTGCAGAGCCATCGGTACCTTCTGTGTCAGGGCTGAACTCTACGTTGCTGATTCTTGTCCGTCAGATGTATAAGTAGAGGATCTGTTATGAAATCCATAAAATCCAAAACTGAAACTTGTAAACGTCCTTCCAGGTGTGGTCGAGCCCATCAGCATCACAGATAACGGGGACGGGACTCACACGGTGAACTACACCCCGACCAGCGACGGCCCGTACACTGTGTGCGTGAAATACGCCGACCAGGAGGTTCCTCGCAGGTACGTGAACCCACATATTCATAGATATAGAAGTCCTCTTGGTTCAGGTCTCACCCTCCCCTCTGCTCTCAGTCCCTTTAAGATCAAGACTCTGCCGGCTCACGATGCCAGCAAGGTGCGAGCCAGCGGTCCGGGTCTGAACTCCAGCGGGGTCCCTGCCAGTTTACCTGTGGAGTTCACCATCGATGCCCGGGACGCTGGGGAGGGACTGCTCACCATCCAGATACTGGTGAGGGGTTAGGGTCACACCTGTAGACAGGGGCGCCGCCAGGGATTTTGGGCCCCATGAAAAGATATCACATTGGGCCCCACCACCAGGCACAGGCCCCACCACCAGGCACAGGCCCCACCACCAGGCACAGGCCCCACCACCAGGCACAGGCCCCACCACCAGGCACAGGCCCCACCACCAGGCACAGGCCCCACCACCAGGCACAGGCCCCACCACCAGGCACAGGCCCCACCACCATGCACAGGCCCCACCACCAGGCACAGGCCCCACCACCAGGCACAGGCCCCACCACCAGGCACAGGCCCCACCACCATGCACAGGCCACGCCAACCAGGCACACTTGCTGTAACCACACCTCCAGAACGCAACCCACTCATTTATGCTTTACATAACTCTACTTGCATCTATCTCGTAGTCCAATACTAACCGCACAGTATTTACTGACTCTGAGCTGTGAACATATAACACTGTGCAGACGTGCAACATTCTGCTGCAGTAGAATTCACTATTTGATATAAGACTAACATTCCTGACAATAGACCTCAATAGCCATCTTTTATGGTGTACACGCCTTTTTAATAATAACATTTTTGAATGGAACATTCTCAACATGAATGCATAAAGCCAAATAAATATAACTTACATATGTGGAAAAATACTGTGTTTGAAAAGTATCATTGAAATGAGATGTTAGCGTTTTGATATATATATATATATATATGTATGTTGTATTCCAGCCACCCTTCAGATATGTTAAGTGTCCTTCAACACAATGCTGCTCACCTCCTTCAGTTGGGAGAACAGCTGGTTCAGGTTCAGCCTTCTGGGGGGACAGGGCTGCTGAGCCTAGAGATGGATCTGTTGGGCCTGGCACCAGGGGGGGGAGGGGCAACTGGTTCAGGTTCAGCCTTCTGGGGGGACAGGGCTGCTGAGCCTAGAGATGGATATGTTGGTCCTGGCACCAGGGGGGGGAGGGACAACTGGTTTAGGAATAGCTGCTAAAGATCTGCATTTATTCAAGTTCAGCTAAAAGAGCAGTGACATGAAAAACCTCTGAACTTTCTGTGAAGATATTAACAGAACTTAATAAATTATTATTTACAATGGACTACGCTTAGCTAACAGACACATTTCCACCACTCATGGACACCCACCTTTTCTTTTGAAACACTGGGTGACATGCTGTCGCCCTTTAGTCCCGCTCTCTTGTCTTTCTCTCCTTTCTTTTCTCTTTGAAAGCCTGACTTTGTGAGTCGTTGAGACATGGCACGTAAGTACTAGCATCCCTGCTCCTCACATGCTCTCACTCTCTGCTAGAAAGGGCCGGTGCCGCGTTTGGAGGCGGGACCAAACCATTACATGTAAATAGAAGGGGGTGTTCAGAGGCTTTGGATAATTAACTTTTGGAAGAAAATAAGTTAAATGAATCGTAAGTTTAGTGAATACATTATCAATATAACGTTCTATTAATGTTAATTATTGATGAATGATGAAAGGTTACTTAAACGTTTTTTTCTTAATGTTCTAAAATTGTTTGGACCCCTGTCAGTCACGGGCCCTTAGAATCGTCCTAATTTTTCACCCCCTTACGGTGCCCCTGCCTGTAGAGTACCTTTAGGGTTAAGGTTACACCTGTAGAGTACCTTTAGGTTTAAGGTTACACCTGTAGAGTACCTTTAGGGTTAAGGTTACACCTGTAGAGTACCTTTAGGGTTAAGGTTACACCTGTAGAGTACCTTTAGGGTTAGGGGAACACCTGTAGAGTACCTTTAGGGTTAAGGTTACACCTGTAGAGTACCTTTAGGGTTAGGGGAACACCTGTAGAGTACCTTTAGGGTTAGGGGAACACCTGTAGAGTACCTTTAGGGTTAGGGGAACACCTGTAGAGTACCTTTAGGGTTAGGGGAACACGTGTAGAGTACCTTTAGGGTTAGGGGAACACCTGTAGAGTACCTTTAGGGTTAGGGGAACACCTGTAGAGTACCTTTAGGGTTAGGGGAACACCTGTAGAGTACCTTTAGGGTTAAGGTTACACCTGTAGAGTACCTTTAGGGTTAGGGGAACACCTGTAGAGTACCTTTAGGGTTAAGGTTACACCTGTAGAGTACCTTTAGGGTTAGGGGAACACCTGTAGAGTACCTTTAGGGTTAAGGTTACACCTGTAGAGTACCTTTAGGGTTAGGGGAACACCTGTAGAGTACCTTTAGGGTTAAGGTTACACCTGTAGAGTACCTTTAGGGTTAGGGGAACACCTGTAGAGTACCTTTAGGGTTAAGGGAACACCTGTAGAGTACCTTTAGGGTTAGGGTAACACCTGTAGAGTACCTTTAGGGTTAAGGTTACACCTGTAGAGTACCTTTAGGGTTAGGGGAACACCTGTAGAGTACCTTTAGGGTTAAGGTTACACCTGTAGAGTACCTTTAGGGTTAGGGGAACACCTGTAGAGTACCTTTAGGGTTAGGGGAACACCTGTAGAGTACCTTTAGGGTTAGGGGAACACCTGTAGAGTACCTTTAGGGTTAGGGTAACACCTGTAGAGTACCTTTAGGGTTAAGGTTACACCTGTAGAGTACCTTTAGGGTTAGGGGAACACCTGTAGAGTACCTTTAGGGTTAGGGGAACACCTGTAGAGTACCTTTAGGGTTAGGGTAACACCTGTAGAGTACCTTTAGGGTTAAGGTTACACCTGTAGAGTACCTTTAGGGTTAGGGGAACACCTGTAGAGTACCTTTAGGGTTAAGGTTACACCTGTAGAGTACCTTTAGGGTTAGGGGAACACCTGTAGAGTACCTTTAGGGTTAAGGTTACACCTGTAGAGTACCTTTAGGGTTAGGGGAACACCTGTAGAGTACCTTTAGACCATCTCAAGACTCGGGTCATAATTAATTTCCCACATGGGAGGAACCAACTAAAATATGAAATGTTAATTAATTACAGGATTTTGTAAATAATACTTCTCAGTAGTTGTACTGGATAATGTTTTTTATAAATAGCTGTATCGTCTGCGTAGAGGTTAGTCCTGCCCTCAGTAGGGTTAATGTGTTGAATGCTCATATCTGTGCAAATTGTCACTATGAGTTCACCTCGTACCCAAGGTGAGTATTTGTCCATATAAAGGCGATGCAAAGATGTGGATCGACCCAAATCTGCTTTCTACAAATGAAGTGACATTTGCATCATTCGCTTATGATGCAAATGTTTGATTTATGACGAGTGGAAAAATCTCAACATTTCTGGGTTGAATGTGTAATAATAGTTGTCTCCTCGTGATGCCGGGGTCCTGCTTTAGGGTCCGGAGGGCTGCAGCCGGGAGGCCTCAGTGTTTGTGGAGGACTGGGGCAGGAGGGTGTGGGAGAATCATATTATAAAGAAAACCATCCCCTTCAGTATTCATAGGAGAGGCTGCGTAAGGCCTGCACCCCCTCACCTCCTCTCACCCCCCTCACCTCCTCTCACCCCCCTCACCTCCTCTCACCCCCCTCACCTCCTCTCACCCCCCTCACCGCCTCTCACCCCCCTCACCTCCTCTCACCCCCCTCACCTCCTCTCACCCCCCTCACCGCCTCTCACCCCCCTCACCGCCTCTCATCTCCCATACCCTCCCATGTCTCTGTATGCATAAAACAGGATTTAAATTGCAGAAATAATGTCATATTTGCATTTTAATAAATTATGTAAAATGGAACAACTTTTCATAATTAGCACACATGGCATTAAATAAAAATACAAAATAATTATAATAAATAAATCCAAATAAATAAATAAATAATTTGCATTAAATCTGAAACTTTGTAAGTAAGAAAACGCATAATAAAAATAATATGAAAATAAAATATAATAAAAACTATTTTGTGTCCCTTTAGCAATAAAGCAGTTAGCCTGATCAATTTAGGCTAATAACCCCCACCCTCCTGACTGAGTCTCCATGTGACCTCCATCAGTTTCTGTGATGCTAAGCTAACAGTTCTCACTAACAGGTGTAAACCGCCCCCCCTCCGCCATTGATTATATATAAATATATATATATGTAAATATATATATATTTAGATATATATATATAAATATATATATATGTAAATATATATATATATATATATATATATAGGCATTGAAAAGTCTTTAGCCTGGATTTAAAAGTAGTAAACCATTTGTTTGTCCATCATCTTAAATGTTTTTGTACTATTACTCTTGTCTTATTCTGTAGCACACCTATTTGTTTGTCTTTGACGCTGTATGTGTTGTTTAAGAAAAAGGAAAATAAAATGTAAAAGAATGAATAAATAAAATAAATGAAAAATAAAAAAAGAGAGTAAGAGTTTGAGCGGACCTGCAGGTTTCCGGTAGTTTGTTCCAGATGTTTGGAAACATCCCAGTCCTCCATCTCACTTCCTGTCCTCCTGTCTCAGGATCCAGAGGGGAAACCGAAGAAGGCGAATATTCGAGATAACCGCGATGGAACGTACACGGTTTCCTACGTCCCCGACATGGCGGGCCGCTACACGATCACCATCAAGTACGGCGGAGATGAGATCCCGTATTCTCCGTACCGAATCCTCGCTCTGCCGACCGGAGACGCCTCCAAGTGTCTGGTCACAGGTCAGGACACGCCCACCGCTCACTGACATCCAATCAGATCACAGCTCTCACAGCCAATCAGATTGAATCTCCTGTTTTAGCCTCTCTGACCCTCTTGTTGTTTTTCTGCAGTTTCCATTGGAGGACACGGACTGGGTGAGTTTGTACTATTTACATTCTTTATTTCATTATGACACTTTCTGATGTTTTGCTGAACAGAAGTTAGAGGTTAGGATTAGGGTTAGTCAGTGGTCAGGAAGTCAAGTCGTAACTTTGAGAATGTAACTTTGAGAATAAAGTCGTAATTTTGAGAATAAAGTTGTAACTTTGAGAATGAAGTCAAGTCGTAACTTTGTGAATGAAGTCGTAACTTTGAGAATAAAGTCGTAACTTTGAGAATGAAGTCAAGTCGTAACTTTGTGAATGAAGTCGTAACTTTGAGAATAAAGTCGTAACTTTGAGAATTTGAGAATAAAGTCGTAATTTTGTGAATGAAGTCGTAACTTTGAGAATGAAGTCGTAACTTTGAGAATGAAGTCGTAACTTTGTGAATGAAGTCGTAACTTTGAAAATAAAGTCGTAATTTTGAGAATAAAGTTGTAACTTTGTGAATGAAGTCGTAACTTTGAGAAAAAAGTCGTAACTTTGAGAATGAAGTCAAGTTGTAACTTTGTGAATGAAGTCGTAACTTTGAGAATAAAGTCGTAACTTTGAGAATGATGTCGTAACTTTGTGAATAAAGTCGTAACTTTGTGAATGAAGTCGTAACTTTGAGAAAAAAGTCGTAACTTTGAGAATGAAGTCAAGTTGTAACTTTGTGAATGAAGTCGTAACTTTGTGAATAAAGTCGTAACTTTGAGAATGAAGTCAAGTCGTAACTTTGAGAATTAAGTCAAGTCGTAACTTTGAGAATTAAGTCAAGTCGTAACTTTGAGAATTAAGTCGTAACTTTGTGAATAAAGTCGTAACTTTGAGAATGAAGTCAAGTCGTAACTTTGAGAATTAAGTCAAGTCGTAACTTTGAGAATTAAGTCAAGTCGTAACTTTGAGAATGAAGTCATAACTTTGAGAATAAAGTCGTAACTTTGAGAATGAAGTCATAACTTTGAGAATAAAGTCGTAATTTTAGAAGAGTAGAAATAAACAATACTGGAATTTAAACATCTTAAAAAAAAAATTAATCAGCATTCAAATGAATGAATTATTAATACCATCATGAGTAATATTTGATTTTAATTGCATGAAGTTATTACATTTAAAAGTTTTGATTTGGTTTATTAATTTTTTATTTAAAGTTTATTCTATTTTCTGTTTTGTATTATTTTACTTTCTGATGTTTTTCTTGTAGAGTAGTAAGAGAGGATCAGGCTCTGTTCTGATTGGTGGTCTGTTGTCAGGACCAGGCTCTGTTCTGATTGGTGGTCTGTTGTCAGGATCAGGTATGGGCCCCACCATCCAGATCGGGGAGGAGACCGTCATCACCGTGGACGCTAAGCATGCTGGGAAAGGTAAAGTCACGTGTAAGGTGTCGACCCCCGACGGCGCTGAGCTGGACGTGGACGTCGTGGAAAACGCAGATGGGACGTTCGATATCTACTACACAGCGCCGGAGCCCGGGAAGTACGTGATCACCATCCGGTTCGGAGGCGAGAACATCCCGAACAGCCCCTTCCACGTGGTGGTGAGTCACAGAGAGTGACTTTGAGAATAAGATAAAGCCAGACGTTTGTGATTAAAGTCTTAACTTTGAGAATAAAGTCGTAGAAAGTCGTAACTTTGAGAATTAAGTCGTAGAAAGTCGTAACTTTGAGAATAAAGTCGTAAAAAGTCTTAACTTTGAAAACAAAGTCGTAAAAAGTCGTAACTTTGTGAATAAAGTCGTAAAAAGTCGTAACTTTAGTAATAAAAGTCAGACCGTACCTGTGTCCACACACGTCATTATTATTCTAATAGTCTGACCCCTAAACACACAGTGAAAGTCTGATTACATCACTAACAGCGTTTGTGCATGGAGGTGTGTGTGTGTGTGTTTTTTATTTTTTTATTGCGTGTGTTTTGTTTGTGTTTTAAAGCCTGTACCTTGTTTCCTGTCAGGCGTGTGGCCCCGCCCCCCTAATAGAGGAGCCCTGTGATTCGCTGCAGTTCAGCCCCCCCTGGGTATACCTGTTACCGTCATATCATATATTTATTTATAATAATTGATATTCCTTTATATTTATATATCTGCTCCTCTGCTTCACACTGTCCTCTCCGCCGGCTGCAGATCAATAACGACCCAGATTCAGATCCAGTTATAGATCGGGGTCAGCATGGCTGCATGACGCATGACTGCTGCTGGGGGGCGGGCGGGGTCATCATGTGCAAACAAAGTAAACAAGGCTGTTGTCACTTAGTAAGAGAAAAAGACACAGCTTCAAGTTTAATCTATGACAAAGAAGCTTTTCTTCACATTTTTATTTATTTATTTAATTGGTATTTAATTTTCTATTTAAAGGGGACCTATCATGCAAAATGCACTTGTGTACGTCTTTTCTACATGAATATGTGTCCCCGGTGTTCCAGGGAACTCACCAAGTGTCAGAAAACACAACCCTCTCTATTTTCCTCCATACCCAAATCTCTAAAAAAGGGGCTGCAACGGATCTGATAAAAACTGATCCAGATTTGAACACTGTCCTGACGTCAGGACGGTGGCGCTACGGCTATTGGGCCAACTCCACCAATCAGGAGGAGACAGCCACGGCCATTGCCGTTCGAAAGCGCTGGAGACGCTGTAGTACATATGCCAGGCCTGTAAGTGGCGCTGTTCTCACTGAATCAGCCCTTGCAAAAACAGAGGTAATTGCAAGGGCGTTTGGTATTTTGAAAATAAAAAAGTATAAATATGCCTTATATAGGTATGGTCCTACACTATATTATTATAATATAGCACGATAGGTCCACTTTAATTTCTTTTTTTCTTCTTTCTTTTGTTTAATTTAATATATTTAATTTTTCTTTATTTTTCTTTCTTTTCTTTTCTTTAATCTTATTTAAGTTTACAATATTTATGTTACAGCTTAAACGTTGTTTCCGTTATGACCCAGTTAGAAAGGTATATTCTCACTGGTGCCGCCGGCCTCTGATGCTCTCTCTGCTTCCTGCTGTGCTTCCTCTTCCTCCTCTTCCTCCTCCTCCTCTTCCTCTCTGGATGTTTAATAGACCACACTAACCCCCCCTCTGTGTTCCAGGCCACCGATGACCCGACCCCCCCCGCCTCGATGGATCCGATGCTCCGCCCCTTCAGCCTCGTCATCCCCTTCACGGTTCAGAAAGAAGAGATCACCGGTAAGAGATGCACACTTTGATTCATATATGACTCTTTATATAGAGTTGGATGTTTAAGGATCAGTCTGGGTTATAATATGTTCCCCTTCAACCAAAGAAGGCTCAGTCTGGGTTATAATATGTTCTCCTTCAACCAAAGAAGGATCAGTCTGGGGTTATAATATGTTCCCCTTCAACCAAAGAAGGATCAGTCTGGGGTTATAATATGTTCCCCTTCAACCAAAGAAGGATCAGTCTGGGGTTATAATATGTTCCCCTTCAACCAAAGAAGGATCAGTCTGGGGTTATAATATGTTCCCCTTCAACCAAAGAAGGATCAGTCTGGGGTTATAATATGTTCTCCTTCAACCAAAGAAGGATCAGTCTGGGGTTATAATATGTTCCCCTTCAACCAAAGAAGGATCAGTCTGGGGTTATAATATGTTCCCCTTCAACCAAAGAAGGATCAGTCTGGGGTTATAATATGTTCCCCTTCAACCAAAGAAGGCTCAGTCTGGGTTATAATATGTTCCCCTTCAACCAAAGAAGGATCAGTCTGGGGTATAATATGTTCCCCTTCAACCAAAGAAGGATCAGTCTGGGGTTATAATATGTTCTCCTTCAACCAAAGAAGGATCAGTATTTTCCTGAAAAAGCTAAGTCACTGTAGTTGTACTTTAAATAAATATGGGGGAAGTAGTGAATTTGTGAGGGACTATTTCCTGCAGCGGATGAATCCACATGTGGTGCGTTGACTCAGAAACAGGTTTAACCCATACGAGGAATTTGACTTGGTGTACATACATAACAGTAAAACAACAGTTCGTTAACTATTTTAAGAAAACTATAATAACATTAACATTTAAATGTTGTACGTGAGGGACGACGGGTGGAAACTAGCTCAAAGCTCAAATCCGGCATGTTTACGTTTTAAAGCATTATTTGTTTTAAATGTTCATCAATGTGCTCTGTCCCTCTTCAAATAAACCATTAAATTAAATTAAATTAAAAATTAAAAAATATAGTCAAATATAGCAGTATTTATATTGAATATGGTTGAAGTCAAATTGGTATAAAATATGTGTAGTACTCAGTGTGTTTGGGATCAATCTAAATGAACCACAGTGTGTTTGTTCATTGTTTAATAATTAGTAGCATGGCCATGTGGTCTAAGGAGACGTTTTAAGGCTGCAGTTTCTAAAGCGTTCGAATTCCACTTCCTCCCAATGTTTTGCACATTTCTCTAAATTCTTTAACGAAATCTCCAGTTTTGAAGGTGTTTAAACATCTGGTCCCAGCGATGCTCTTTGAGCCAACGACCAGTCTGTAGTACAAACTTCAATCATATTCAATGTAAATACTGCTATATTTAAAAAACAATTAAAATGTCAAATAGTTTTCTATCTGTGTTTTTAATATTTGTTTTATTTTAATGTATGCACCATGACACCAAGTCAAATTCCTCATATGTGTTACCTACCTGGTGATAAACCTGATTCTGATTCTGAATCTCAGAACTATCTCTGAGGATTATATATATCTGTGTGTTCCTGCAGGAGAGGTGCGGATGCCCTCCGGTCGCACCGCCTGTCCTCACATCACCGACAACAAGGACGGCACGGTGACGGTGAAATACTCCCCGACAGAGAGGGGTCTGCACGAGATGGACATCAAATATGATGGAAACCACATCCCAGGTCACCACATTACATATTTACTTTGTAGGTGTTGTATAATAGAAGCTTCGAAGAACAAAGCGAGTCTAGTCCAAACTGAATGTGTTTTGCTTCATATTAATATAACAGTTTCCAACAAGAACGGTAGAAGACGGGGAAAATGCACGAGACATACTCGTATTCATTTAAAAAACATAACAGGTCAGAGAAAGAGCAGGACACATACTTGCACTTCAAAATAAAAGCATTTCCTTTTAAACATTTCACCCTTAACTTTTGTCAACAAGCAAATAAACAAATTATTTGACTGCCTTAAATGAAAGAAGTTCCAACAGTAGGGCCGCAGTAAGTTCAAGTCTGTGTTGTGAACGAATAGCAAAGTATCTGCAAACGGGTTAATGTTGTCTATCGTAATAAGGATTCAAGCGTCTTTGAGCATTAGGAAAAGCGCTATTAAAAATCCAATGTATTATTATTATTATCAATTTCTCTTTTTTGGCAACGAATAGTAGAGTATCATCAGCAGCTTAACAATCAGAGAAATATACATTATTAAGGCGCTAAATGTTGTCTATCATAATTAAGTTGAATCAATTTCTCAGTTCTTGGCAAGGAATAATAATAACGTATCTTCTGCAAACAGCTTGACAAATATGACGAAGAAACGGACATCTTTTTAAACCCCTGGCTCTCTATCAGTTTATAATATTAAAAGTTTGTCTTCTGTTTCAGGAAGTCCTCTCCAGTTCTACGTGGACGCCATAAACAGCGGTCATGTGACGGCGTTCGGCCCCGGGCTGACTCACGGCACTGTGAGCAGAGCGGCGACTTTCACCATCGTTACTAAAGACGCCGGAGAAGGTAGGAACACCGGACTCTTAAATATGACTATATGTAGAGTATTATGTGCAGATAGAGCCCTAACCCTGGTGCGTGTCCCCGCAGGAGGTCTGTCTCTGGCGGTGGAGGGTCCGTCCAAAGCAGAGATCAGCTGTAAGGACAATAAGGACGGCACCTGCACCGTGTCCTACCTCCCCACCGTGCCCGGAGACTACAACATCATCGTGAAGTTTGACGACAAACACATCCCCGGCAGCCCCTTCACCGCCAAGATCACCGGTACGGAAACACACTGATTGATCTAACTGTACATTCTCCATGCAAGGTTTTAAATGTGTTTCCTGTTTTGTGTCCAGGCGATGACTCCATGAGGATGTCTCAGCTGAACGTGGGCACGGCGTCAGACGTTTCTCTGAAGATCACGGAGACCGACCTCAGCAGTCTGACGGCGAGTATCACAGCGCCGTCCGGACACGAAGAGCCGTGCGTCCTGAAGAGGCTTCCCAACAGACACATCGGTCAGTGGATCCACAACCTTAGACACTCAAGACATAACAAGATATCACTAAATAGAAACACAGACACACTTATTATATTGTTCAACAGTATAAGAGCCAGAATACTTGCGTCTAAAGAATGACAGAATCCCACAGGTTTTATACACTTCTTTTTAGTTTACACAGCACTATACCTTTGGACCTTTACAATCACATGTTACAAGACCCTACTCTAATGTGCTCATTCATGGTACAAAGGTCTCACGAGCATGATCATATAATATAGATTTGATCTACAGCGTGACGTTCAGACTGAGAGGCTACATGTTCCTAGCTCGTTGGGGAAAAGGAAGCAACACAAACCAGATGTACTTGGATGAAAGTGGTTTTATTGACAAACTTAAATTGACGGGTATACAAGTGGCAATGATCTAATAAACACAGCACAAAGGACCTAATGGGTGCTGGTTAAACAAAGCATACACGCTTTATACATTGCAGTGAACTCTAAACGTACCTAGTTTTCAGCACATTAAGCTAACGTTGTTGCTCAATGAATGCTATCTATATATATTGTGTTTTACTTTTGCTTCCTCACGGCCTCCTCATATTCTCCACAGCAGGCATCTGAACATATGGAATTGCTGATTTATTTAATTGAATTTTGAGGTTTAGACAACTTTGTAACACCTCCAGTGTTCCAAGTCCAAAATGACCGCCATAGGAAATGAATGGGTAACTCTACATGATGTTCATCCCATGAATATTTACTTTTGAATATATCTTGAGTGTGTCTTCTTTGTATATTCACTGCAGTGTTTCATGAAAACCAGTAGTCTGAGACGCTGTTTCTTTATCGATCCATCCACCTCCGCAGGGATCTCGTTCACGCCGAAGGAAGTGGGCGAGCACGTGGTGAGCGTGAAGAAGAGTGGGAAGCATGTGACCAACAGTCCCTTCAAGATCATGGTCGGACAGTCGGAGATCGGAGACGCCAGCAAAGTGAAAGTGTTCGGGGAGGGGCTGATGGAGGGTCACACCTTCGAGATGGCCGAGTTCATCGTGGACACCAGGAACGCAGGTACTGTGATGGAAACTTCTGGATCAATGGAGACTCAGAGAGACACAGGGAGAGCAGGAACTCTGATGGAAACACTGAGGGTTTATTTAGAGCTAACGGCCAGAGAATTCACAAAACATGTGCTGTGTTTCTGAAGATCTCCCAGACCCATGTATTTAGCTGTGAGAGAAGAATCAACATGTTGCATAACAAGATGAAGCCCTGTACCCTCTATCAGCTGACCCCAACAGGAGGAGCAGAGAGACACTGAGAGCAGCGAGGGCAGACTGATCAACTGGTCAAAGTTATGGGCCTAGGAAAATATTTCCCCAATTGATATCCTCTCTTTCTCCCAGGTTACGGGGGTCTGGGTCTCTCCATCGAGGGTCCCAGTAAAGTGGACATTAACTGTGAGGACGTGGAGGACGGGACGTGTAAAGTCACCTACTGTCCCACCGAGCCCGGGAACTACATCATCAACATCAAGTTCGCCGACCAACACGTGCCAGGTAGGAACCCATGGAACACATATATTGAAGATAATAAAGCGTATGTAACCGTATGTACCGTAACCGTGTGGTTCACATCATGATGGTGGTTGGCAGCATCTTTCAAAGCCTACATTTTGTTGTTGTTTTTAAAGGTTGTGCTGAACTTATCCCTGTACGTTTTGGCAAACATTCCCCTTTCATGTCTTTTAAGGTTGTGATCTGCTTGAAAGTAGTGATGCAACTGCTACGTTTCTTATTTTGTATTTGCGCTATGGTTTTAGTAATTAGTTTTATTACTTAAAAGTGATTGGTTTACAAACATTACCCCCACCTTTTTGGGAAAGTGTTTTTTAAGTTGTGTGCTGCATTTTGCGTTTGTATTTATATGTTTAGAATTTTCTGTTTGTTTGTTTTTTGCCTACTTTTTGGGTATCTTCTGTGTAAGTCTGTGTGAGTTAACATCTCGTGTTTGTGTCTGTGTGAGTTAACATCTCGTGTTTGTGTCTGTGTGAGTTATCATCTCGTGTTTGTGTCTGTGTGAGTTAACATCTCGTGTTTGTGTCTGTGTGAGTTAACATCACGTGTTTGTGTCTGTGTGAGTTAACATCACGTGTTTGTGTCTGTGTGAGTTAACATCTCGTGTTTGTGTCTGTGTGAGTTATCATCTCGTGTTTGTGTCTGTGTGAGTTAACATCTCGTGTTTGTGTCTGTGTGAGTTAACATCACGTGTTTGTGTCTGTGTGAGTTAACATCACGTGTTTGTGTCTGTGTGAGTTAACATCACGTGTTTGTGTCTGTGTGAGTTAACATCACGTGTTTGTGTCTGTGTGAGTTAACATCACGTGTTTGTGTCTGTGTGAGTTAACATCTCGTGTTTGTGTCTGTGTGAGTTAACATCACGTGTTTGTGTCTGTGTGAGTTAACATCACGTGTTTGTGTCTGTGTGAGTTAACATCACGTGTTTGTGTCTGTGTGAGTTATCATCTCGTGTTTGTGTCTGTGTGAGTTAACATCTCGTGTTTGTGTCTGTGTGAGTTAACATCACGTGTTTGTGTCTGTGTGAGTTAACATCACGTGTTTGTGTCTGTGTGAGTTAACATCACGTGTTTGTGTCTGTGTGAGTTAACATCACGTGTTTGTGTCTGTGTGAGTTATCATCTCGTGTTTGTGTCTGTGTGAGTTAACATCACGTGTTTGTGTCTGTGTGAGTTAACATCACGTGTTTGTGTCTGTGTGAGTTAACATCACGTGTTTGTGTCTGTGTGAGTTAACATCACGTGTTTGTGTCTGTGTGAGTTAACATCACGTGTTTGTGTCTGTGTGAGTTAACATCACGTGTTTGTGTCTGTGTGAGTTATCATCTCGTGTTTGTGTCTGTGTGAGTTAACATCACGTGTTTGTGTCTGTGTGAGTTAACATCACGTGTTTGTGTCTGTGTGAGTTAACATCTCGTGTTTGTGTCTGTGTGAGTTAACATCACGTGTTTGTGTCTGTGTGAGTTAACATCTCGTGTTTGTGTCTGTGTGAGTTAACATCACGTGTTTGTGTCTGTGTGAGTTAACATCACGTGTTTGTGTCTGTGTGAGTTAACATCTCGTGTTTGTGTCTGTGTGAGTTAACATCTCGTGTTTGTGTCTGTGTGAGTTAACATCACGTGTTTGTGTCTGTGTGAGTTAACATCTCGTGTTTGTGTCTGTGTGAGTTAACATCACGTGTTTGTGTCTGTGTGAGTTAACATCACGTGTTTGTGTCTGTGTGAGTTAACATCTCGTGTTTGTGTCTGTGTGAGTTAACATCTCGTGTTTGTGTCTGTGTGAGTTAACATCACGTGTTTGTGTCTGTGTGAGTTAACATCACGTGTTTGTGTCTGTGTGAGTTAACATCTCGTGTTTGTGTCTGTGTGAGTTAACATCTCGTGTTTGTGTCTGTGTGAGTTAACATCTCGTGTTTGTGTCTGTGTGAGTTAACATCACGTGTTTGTGTCTGTGTGAGTTAACATCACGTGTTTGTGTCTGTGTGAGTTAACATCACGTGTTTGTGTCTGTGTGAGTTAACATCTCGTGTTTGTGTCTGTGTGAGTTAACATCTCGTGTTTGTGTCTGTGTGAGTTAACATCTCGTGTTTGTGTCTGTGTGAGTTAACATCACGTGTTTGTGTCTGTGTGAGTTAACATCTCGTGTTTGTGTCTGTGTGAGTTAACATCTCGTGTTTGTGTCTGTGTGAGTTAACATCTCGTGTTTGTGTCTGTGTGAGTTAACATCACGTGTTTGTGTCTGTGTGAGTTAACATCTCGTGTTTGTGTCTGTGTGAGTTAACATCTCGTGTTTGTGTCTGTGTGAGTTAACATCTCGTGTTTGTGTCTGTGTGAGTTAACATCACGTGTTTGTGTCTGTGTGAGTTAACATCACGTGTTTGTGTCTGTGTGAGTTAACATCACGTGTTTGTGTCTGTGTGAGTTAACATCACGTGTTTGTGTCCCAACAGGAAGTCCGTTCACGGTGAAGGTGTTCGGCGAGGGCCGGATGAAGGAGAGCATCACGAGGAGGCGTCAGGCGCCGAGCATCGCCACCGTGGGAAGCACCTGCGATCTGAACCTGAAGATACCAGGTGAGACCTTCCTCTTCCTCTTTCTCCTCCTCCTCTTCCTCCTCTTCACCTCCTTCACTGTTTATACAATACAATACAGCACTTTAAAACCTCCAGAGCAAAGTGCTGTGCAGTCAAATAAACAAACTGAAAACACACAGCTCAGCTCACACACCATAAAACACTTTAAAAGGCCTGTCTGCAGATCATTCATGTGGTAAATATGGAGTTCCCCAAGGCTCAAGCCTGGGCCCACTACCTTCTTGTTTTATATGATTTACTTCTACATGTTATGAAGCACAAACAGAATAATAATGTTCATTTTAATACAGATGCCCCAACTCTATTAAGCTTTAAAAATGCTCAAACCTTTTATTTTTAAGAATCCTGGACATTTGAAAAACCTGGCCGATTTCATCCTTTTGCAAATGACTCTCTCTCTTTATCTGTCGATCCTTGCGTCTCTACGGGTTTACAAACTCAAGTAACCCTGTACATACAGAGATACTAAGCATTGGAGAATATCTTTTAAAGACTGTTAAAACTTTAATACAGCAGTAAACGTCAAGGGTTTATAAGGGGGGGGGGGTGTCCGGTGCCTTGCTCAGGGGAACCACGGCAGGGCCCAGGAGGAGAACTGGGACCTCTCCAAGAACGGTCCTTCACTGTTTCCCCTTCCCTCCTCCCTCTTCCTCCCCTCGCTGGTCTTTAGGGAACTGGTTCCACATGGTGTCGGCTCAGGAGCGTCTCACGCACACCTTCACGAGGAGCAGCCACACCTACACCCGCACGGAGAGGACGGAGATCAGAGAGACGAGGGCGGGGGAGACGAAGCGGGAGGTGAGGGTGGAGGAGAGTCGGCAGGTGGAGGATCCGTACAGGGACTCCGTGTTCGGAGACTTCCTGGGGAGGGAGAGTCTGAGCGGGTTCAACAACAACAGCAGCAGCCGCCAGGCACAGCTGCAGGATGGTGTGTGTGTGTGTGCAAGACCCATGTTTGGCACTGTGTGGGGACCTCAGATTGTGTGTGTGGGGACCTGTGTGTGTGCCGACCCGTGTATGGCACCGTGTGGGGACCTGTGTGTGTGCCGACCCGTGTATGGCACCGTGTGGGGACCTGTGTGTGTGCCGACCCGTGTATGGCACCGTGTGGGGACCTGTGTGTGTGCCGACCCGTGTATGGCACCATGTGGGGACCTGTGTGTGTGTGTTTCTAACTCACTGATACCTGAAACAGGTTTTCAGTTTTGCAGACATGAATAATTGTTTTACTTTAAGAGAGTTTAACTCTGTGTTGATGCATGTACTTAATATCACTGTGTTTGGTTTTATTCTGATGATTGTGAGGTACCTTTCACCCTGAAAAGCTTTTATTTTTGAAAAACTTTATGCATTCGGTAAGAAAATGTGAAGTCAAATTCATTACTCAACATTATTGGTCATTTATTCTAATACCACAGTGCATATATTTGTTCTTTGTATTTTCTCACGTTATATATAAGTCCATAGTGACAAAATGATGCTAATATTGATCAATTCCATGCAATAAGGAATGATTGCCAGTTAAACAAAATGAAATACTAATTTGCATGATATATGGATGCCATGTTTTTGGCATCTTGGTGCATGTTCTGATAACCCTGACAGTGTCTTTAGACCTCACCCCACCTGATGCATTATTCTCTTTACCCTCTACAGGTGAGGCGAGCAACCAGGAGATGACGGCTCAGGTGACGAGTCCCGGAGGAAAGACGGAGGACGCGGAGATCATCCGGGGGGAAGACAGCGCCTACAGCGTGCGCTTCATCCCGCAGGAGATGGGCGCGCACACCGTGAACGTGAAGTACCGGAACCAGCACGTCCCCGGGAGCCCCTTCCAGTTCACTGTGGGGCCACTGGGGGAGGGGGGGGCGCACAAGGTCCGGGCGGGGGGCACCGGGCTGGAGCGGGGTGTCGCAGGGACCCCAGGTGAGATCAGATATACTGTAGTTTAGTTTATAATAAACTGTAGTTTGGTTTATAATACACTGTAGTTTATAATATAATTCACTGTAGTTTATAATATAATACCCTGTAGTTTATAATATAATACCCTGTAGTTTATAATATAATTCACTGTAGTTTATAATATAATACACTGTAATTTATAATATAATACACTGTAGTTTATAATATAATTCACTGTAGTTTATAATATAATACCCTGTAGTTTATAATATAATTCACTGTAGTTTATAATATAATACACTGTAATTTATAATATAATACACTGTAGTTTATAATATAATACACTGTAGTTTATAATATAATACACTGTAGTTTATAATATAATACACTGTAGTTTATAATATAATACACTGTAATTTATAATATAATACACTGTAGTTTATAATATAATACCCTGTAGTTTATAATATAATACCCTGTAGTTTATAATATAATACCCTGTAGTTTATAATATAATACCCTGTAGTTTATAATATAATACCCTGTAGTTTATAATATAATACCCTGTAGTTTATAATATAATACCCTGTAGTTTATAATATAATACCCTGTAGTTTATAATATAATACCCTGTAGTTTACGATAAGATAAGAGTACTTGGAAGAAGGCTTTATTTTGGTCCAAATGTGACTCGTTTTCTTGCAGGTTTTTGATGCATACTCTTTATTTTCAGATCCGAATCCGAATGACTTTATTCGTCCCGCAACAGGGAAATGTACATTACTACAACAGCAGAAATATAATGCATTGCCCAGGCGTGTATATTCAGAATACCTTTATTCGTCTTAATTGCACACAGTTTTTTATCTACAGGCATTGTTATTGCACTTCATGGGTATTACATTATATGTATTTGACAGTTTGACAGTTAAGATAATCAGATGACTTAAGATATGTTGTCTTTGTGCAGCTGAGTTCAGTATCTGGACCCGAGAGGCCGGAGCTGGAGGTCTGTCCATCGCAGTGGAGGGACCGAGCAAAGCAGAGATCACCTTCGAGGACAGGAAGGACGGATCCTGTGGCGTCGCGTACGTGGTTCAGGAACCTGGTGAGACTCTAAAACAAACGTTAGCTTTTTAAGAAAATTGTGGAGATGATCCTGCTGATCTTTACCTTCTCTCTGCAGGTGACTATGAGGTCTCCATTAAGTTTAACGATGAACACATCCCAGACTCTCCGTTCATCGTCCCGATCGCCACGCTGTCCGACGACGCTCGCCGCCTCTCCATCACCAGCCTGCAGGTGGGAACAATTACCTTCATTAAAGGTCTCCTATTATACCATTTTTAGGTATTCTCAGATATATATATAAACATGTCTCTGAAGTGTTTTGCTCAAAATACCAAACAGATCATTCTAGCCTCATCCCCCTCTATTCCAGCTGTTACTAAAGAGATGATTCTGGGTCAGTAGCTTTAAGAAAAAAGCCCACATTTTAGTAATGTCGTCATGACGCAGCAAATCTGGATCAGCTCCGTTGTTCCCCCGTTTTTAGAGATGTGGGTACGGAGGAAAAGAGAGAGGGGTTTATTTCCTGACACTTTGTGAGTCTCCTGACACACCGGGGACACACCGGGGACACACCGGGGACACACGGGGGACACACCGGGGACACACCGGGGACACACCGGGGACACATGGGACACACACCGGGGACACACCGGGGACACACGGGGGACACACCGGGGACACACCGGGGACACATGGGACACACACCGGGGACACACCGGGGACACATGGTGACACACCGGGGACACACCGGGGACACATGGTGAAGTACAGAAGACATCACTTTGTGAGTTTCCTGACACACCGGGGACACATGTTGATGTAGAAGAGACATCAAAACGTGCATTTTGCATGATAGGAGACCTTTAATTCAAATAAAACAACCAGCTTCAGTAATTGAAGTTAAACAATGTATTAATTGTTGTGTTTATTCCCAGGAGATGGGTCTGAAGGTGGGTCAGGAGGCGTCCTTCGCTGTGCAACTGAACGGAGTGAGAGGCCTGATCGACGCTAAGATCCACACGCCGTCCGGAGCCATCGAGGAGTGCATCATCACGGAGCTGGACAACGGTACCACACACACTCTGTCATCAACTAGAGTTACATCTGTCCTGTGGAAGGATTGTATGTACAAACATGGAAGCCAAAAGGTTGGGTTAGGCAAAGATTCATAATAATGTTTCCCGTGGAGTTCCACAAGGCTCTTATCTAGGTCCTTTTCTTTTCTATGTCAAAGTTGTCTTAAAATATGGCGATCCTCAAGGCACAAGCCCGGTCCCACTCGTTTTTTAAGTTTAATATGAGTTATTTCTCCCTGTCATGAAAACATGAACAAAATAATTATGTTCATTTCTATGCCGATGACACCCAACTCTACTGAGCTTGAGATTTGTATGATTCCTGGTATCTTCATGACTTAAAAAACCTGAAATGTGGACATCTACAGGACCCAGAGATTCCTGTAATTAAATCTAGACAAACAGCGGATGATACACAACTCTATTTAGCTTTTGATTTGTATGATTCAAGCCTTCTTTACGGCTTTAAAAACTGAAATGATGATGTCTACAGAACGCAAAATGTCCTGCGATGTAACCTCGACATACAGAGATCTCAACAATTGGAGAGAATACCTTTCAAAACTATTTAAAAACCGAACACTTTATGCAAAACATGTAACCAATGTGGGCTGATTGACTATTGATGGACTCCACAGACCAGCACGCTATCCGGTTCATCCCGAGGGAAAACGGAGTTCATTCTATCTACGTTCGTTTCAACGGCAGCCACGTTCCCGGCAGTCCGTTTAAGATCCGAGTGGGAGAGCAAGGACAGGTCGGAGATCCCGGCATGGTGTCCGCCTTCGGGCCGGGACTGGAGGGAGGAACCACAGGTAAACACAACGAGTAAACACCTTCTAAAAACACTCATTTCAAATGCAACACATTCTGCCTCTGTCATAACTCTCTGTGAAACATCTGCTCTGTCTGGAAGAGAACTCTCTGCTCTCTGATAACTGGACTCAAACTCACATTTTATATTCAATGGAATATTTCACATTCCATTCCTCACACACTTAATGTGTATATAATGTCCGGCTTTATTTTTTGTTTACTGGAAATGTATATTTTCTACTTTTTTTAATGCTATTTTTTTTCTATTTGAGACGTTTACATTTAGGATTGTTTATTTCTAGTCTTTTAATTTCTCCAATGTACAACGCCTTGTCTTTTGAAGCTGCTGCAACGCAAACATTTCACACATTGGGATCAATAAAGTACTTTTGATCTTATCTTTATCTTATCTCATCTTAATGAGTATATGGCCCTTACCCTAACTACAGTCTATTATATTATAAACTACAGTCTATTATATTATAAACTAAAGTGTATTATATTATAAACTACAGTGTATTATATTATAAACTACAGTGTATTATATTATAAACTACAGTGTATTATATTATAAACTACAGTCTATTATATTATAAACTACAGTCTATTATATTATAAACTAAAGTGTATTATATTATAAACTACAGTGTATTATATTATAAACTACAGTGTATTATATTATAAACTACAGTGTATTATATTATAAACTACAGTGAATTATATTATAAACTACAGTCTATTATATTATAAACTACAGTCTATTATATTATAAACTACAGTGTATTATATTATAAACTACAGTGTATTATATTATAAACTACAGTCTATTATATTATAAACTACAGTCTATTATATTATAAACTACAGTGTATTATATTATAAACTACAGTGTATTATATTATAAACTACAGTGAATTATATTATAAACTACAGTGTATTATATTATAAACTACAGTCTATTATATTATAAACTACAGTGTATTATATTATAAACTACAGTGAATTATATTATAAACTACAGTGTATTATATTATAAACTACAGTCTATTATATTATAAACTACAGTGTATTATATTATAAACTACAGTGTATTATATTATAAACTACAGTGTATTATATTATAAACTACAGTGAATTATATTATAAACTACAGTGTATTATATTATAAACTACAGTGAATTATATTATAAACTAAAGTCTATTATATTATAAACTACAGTGAATTATATTATAAACTACAGTGAATTATATTATAAACTACAGGGTATTATATTATAAACTACAGTCAATTATATTATAAACTACAGTGTATTATATTATAAACTACAGTCTATTATATTATAAACTAAAATGTATTATATTATAAACTACAGTCTATTATATTATAAACTACAGTGTATTATATTATAAACTACAGTGAATTATATTATAAACTACAGTGAATTATATTATAAACTACAGTCTATTATATTATAAACTACAGTGTATTATATTATAAACTACAGTGAATTATATTATAAACTACAGTGAATTATATTATAAACTACAGTCTATTATATTATAAACTACAGTGTATTATATTATAAACTACAGTGAATTATATTATAAACTACAGTCTATTATATTATAAACTAAAGTGTATTATATTATAAACTACAGTGAATTATATTATAAACTACAGTCTATTATATTATAAACTACAGTGTATTATATTATAAACTACAGTCTATTATATTATAAACTACAGTCTATTATATTATAAACTACAGTGTATTATATTATAAACTAAAGTGTATTATATTATAAACTACAGTCTATTATATTATAAACTAAAGTGTATTATATTATAAACTACAGTGAATTATATTATAAACTACAGTCTATTATATTATAAACTAAAGTGTATTATATTATAAACTACAGTGAATTATATTATAAACTACAGTCTATTATATTATAAACTACAGTGTATTATATTATAAACTACAGTCTATTATATTATAAACTACAGTCTATTATATTATAAACTACAGTGTATTATATTATAAACTAAAGTGTATTATATTATAAACTACAGTCTATTATATTATAAACTACAGGGTATTATATTATAAACTAAAGTGTATTATATTATAAACTACAGTAAATTATATTATAAACTAAAGTGTATTATATTATAAACTACAGTCTATTATATTATAAACTACAGTGAATTATATTATAAACTACAGTCTATTATATTATAAACTACAGGGTATTATATTATAAACTACAGTGTATTATACTATAAACTACAGTCTATTATATTATAAACTACAGTCTATTATATTATAAACTACAGTGAATTATATTATAAACTACAGGGTATTATAAACTACAGTGTATTATATTATAAACTACAGGGTATTATATTATAAACTACAGTCTATTATATTATAAACTAAAGTGTATAATATAATAAACTACAGGGTATTATAAACTACAGTGTATTATATTATAAACTACAGGGTATTATATTATAAACTACAGTGTATTATATTATAAACTACAGTGTATTATATTATAAACTAAAGTCTATTATATTATAAACTACAGTGAATTATATTATAAACTACAGTCAATTATATTATAAACTACAGTGTATTATATTATAAACTACAGTGTATTATATTATAAACTACAGTCAATTATATTATAAACTACAGTCAATTATATTATAAACTACAGTCAATTATATTATAAACTACAGTCAATTATATTATAAACTACAGTCAATTATATTATAAACTACAGTGTATTATATTATAAACTACAGTGTATTATATTATAAACTACAGGGTATTATATTATAAACTACAGGGTATTATATTATAAACTACAGTGAATTATATTATAAACTACAGTCTATTATATTATAAACTAAAGTCTATTATATTATAAACTACAGTCTATTATATTATAAACTACAGTGAATTATATTATAAACTACAGTCTATTATATTATAAACTAAAGTCTATTATATTATAAACTACAGTGAATTATATTATAAACTAAAGTGAATTATATTATAAACTACAGGGTATTATATTATAAACTAAAGTCTATTATATTATAAACTACAGTCAATTATATTATAAACTACAGTGTATTATATTATAAACTACAGTGTATTATATTATAAACTACAGTCAATTATATTATAAACTAAAGTGTATTATATTATAAACTACAGTCTATTATATTATAAACTACAGTGTATTATATTATAAACTACAGTCTATTATATTATAAACTACAGTCTATTATATTATAAACTACAGGGTATTATATTATAAACTAAAGTGTATTATATTATAAACTACAGTAAATTATATTATAAACTAAAGTGTATTATATTATAAACTACAGTCTATTATATTATAAACTACAGTGAATTATATTATAAACTACAGTCTATTATATTATAAACTACAGGGTATTATATTATAAACTACAGGGTATTATATTATAAACTACAGTGAATTATATTATAAACTACAGTCTATTATATTATAAACTAAAGTGTATTATATTATAAACTACAGTGAATTATATTATAAACTACAGTCTATTATATTATAAACTACAGTGTATTATATTATAAACTACAGTCTATTATATTATAAACTACAGTCTATTATATTATAAACTACAGTGTATTATATTATAAACTACAGTCTATTATATTATAAACTACAGGGTATTATATTATAAACTACAGTGAATTATATTATAAACTACAGTCTATTATATTATAAACTAAAGTGTATTATATTATAAACTACAGTGAATTATATTATAAACTACAGTCTATTATATTATAAACTACAGTGTATTATATTATAAACTACAGTCTATTATATTATAAACTACAGTCTATTATATTATAAACTACAGTGTATTATATTATAAACTAAAGTGTATTATATTATAAACTACAGTCTATTATATTATAAACTACAGGGTATTATATTATAAACTAAAGTGTATTATATTATAAACTACAGTGAATTATATTATAAACTACAGTCTATTATATTATAAACTACAGTGTATTATATTATAAACTACAGTCTATTATATTATAAACTACAGTCTATTATATTATAAACTACAGTGTATTATATTATAAACTAAAGTGTATTATATTATAAACTACAGTCTATTATATTATAAACTACAGGGTATTATATTATAAACTAAAGTGTATTATATTATAAACTACAGTAAATTATATTATAAACTAAAGTGTATTATATTATAAACTACAGTCTATTATATTATAAACTACAGGGTATTATATTATAAACTACAGTGTATTATACTATAAACTACAGTCTATTATATTATAAACTACAGTCTATTATATTATAAACTACAGTGTATTATATTATAAACTACAGTCTATTATATTATAAACTACAGTGAATTATATTATAAACTACAGGGTATTATAAACTACAGTGTATTATATTATAAACTACAGGGTATTATATTATAAACTACAGTCTATTATATTATAAACTAAAGTGTATAATATAATAAACTACAGGGTATTATAAACTACAGTGTATTATATTATAAACTACAGGGTATTATATTATAAACTACAGTGTATTATATTATAAACTACAGTGTATTATATTATAAACTAAAGTCTATTATATTATAAACTACAGTGAATTATATTATAAACTACAGTCAATTATATTATAAACTACAGTGTATTATATTATAAACTACAGTGTATTATATTATAAACTACAGTCAATTATATTATAAACTACAGTCAATTATATTATAAACTACAGTCAATTATATTATAAACTACAGTCAATTATATTATAAACTACAGTCAATTATATTATAAACTACAGTGTATTATATTATAAACTACAGTGTATTATATTATAAACTACAGGGTATTATATTATAAACTACAGGGTATTATATTATAAACTACAGTGAATTATATTATAAACTACAGTCTATTATATTATAAACTAAAGTCTATTATATTATAAACTACAGTCTATTATATTATAAACTACAGTGAATTATATTATAAACTACAGTCTATTATATTATAAACTAAAGTCTATTATATTATAAACTACAGTGAATTATATTATAAACTACAGTCTATTATATTATAAACTAAAGTCTATTATATTATAAACTACAGTGAATTATATTATAAACTACAGTGAATTATATTATAAACTACAGTCTATTATATTATAAACTAAAGTCTATTATATTATAAACTACAGTCTATTATATTATAAACTACAGTGAATTATATTATAAACTACAGTCTATTATATTATAAACTAAAGTCTATTATATTATAAACTACAGTGAATTATATTATAAACTACAGGGTATTATATTATAAACTAAAGTCTATTATATTATAAACTACAGTCAATTATATTATAAACTACAGTGTATTATATTATAAACTACAGTGTATTATATTATAAACTAGTCAATTATATTATAAACTAAAGTGTATTATATTATAAACTACAGTCTATTATATTATAAACTACAGTGAATTATATTATAAACTAAAGTGTATTATATTATAAACTACAGGGTATTATATTATAAACTACAGTGTATTATATTATAAACTACAGTGAATTATATTATAAACTAAAGTGTATTATATTATAAACTACAGGGTATTACATTTTAAAGTGGAGGGCTGTGCAGACATCTTCTTATCATATCTTATCTTACGTTTCCTCGCTGCGTGATAAATAAAGAAATGCGAATATGAAAATTAAGCTTTTGCATCAAAAATCGTATCTTCTGACGTGTCTTTGTTCAGGCGTGGCGTCAGAGTTCGTGGTGAACACGGTTAACGCCGGCGCCGGAGCGCTGTCGGTGACCATCAATGGACCGTCGAAGGTGAAGATGGACTGCCTGGAGAGCACTGAGGGGTACAAGGTGTCCTACACCCCCATGGCTCCTGGGAACTACCTCATCTCTATCAAATACGGCGGACCCCAGCACATCGTGGGCAGCCCCTTCAAGGCCAAAGTCTCTGGTGGGTTGTGTTCGGTTGTGTCCTGGTAACCTTGAACTTTGGCTCATTGGAAGAGTTCTTGAATCTTCCATTGATTGCAGGGATGGGAATCAGGAGTTAGCGTTAGGGGAAACTAGTTCCTGTTGAGATGGTTGAGGTTAGTTTTTCAAAGTCAAAGTCAACTTTATTGTCAATCTCCAAATATGTTTGTACACACAGAAAGATCTAAATACTGTTTCCCACGGTCCCGAGGTATAAAATAACACATTAACACACCATAAAAACTCTTCGTCATGACTTCAAACTAACATCATGGCGGAGAGGAGGGAAAAACTGTCCAAATGGCCACTTCATTTTCACGAGAAACATCTTCCTTGTACTCTCTGTAAAATGAACATTTCATATAAGTTGAGAACATCTTACATTTGGGGATCGATTGGTAAAAACTCGATCTAAAGTTCATTTATGCGTTTAATTTGCCGCCTTTATTGTTAGATTGAAATATGGGTTGGTAATCGTTGGTTTGTTTATTTGCGTCTCCCTTCAGGTCCTCGTCTCTCCGGCGGACACAGTCTTCACGAAACGTCGTCCGTCCTCGTGGAAACCGTCTCCAAGACCTCCTCGATGGGGGGGCCCTTCGCCTCGTTACCCAAGTTTACTTCAGACGCCAGTAAAGTCATCTCTCGAGGCGCCGGACTCTCCAAGGCCTTCGTGGGTCAGAAGAACACGTTCACGGTCGACTGCACCAGCGCAGGTGAGGAACAACTGCTCAATAATAAACACAAATAACTCGTAGTAACAAAAAACACAAGTGTGGGAATATTAACCTGTTACGCACGGCCCCCCCCGGTACCGGGCGGATAAATGCGTCATTTGCAGGAAACAACGTCTAAGGAATCTTAATATTTAATAAAACTATGAATGTTTTATATCCATGTAACGGGAAGAAACTCAGCTAACTGATCTTTTTAATTTTTTTTTCCAAAGAAAAACCACAATGCTAACACTCAGCCTCTGAATTAGCCACGAGCGAAAAAATGTAACCTATCACCTAAACTCACTCATAACTCCCTTATTACTTATCCTAGATGCACAGCCAACCACTCGTTTTTGGTGTCCTGGAGACACAGAATCTAGGGGTGCCCACCTCAACACTCAGTGATAAACATTTGTGACGCTATAAACGAAAGCGTAGATCATAACATGTGGAGCTAGGTAGCTAGAAACGCTAACATGGCTTACCTTGGTCAAAACTGGTCTTCAATAGCATTAAAACGATAAAACGATGCTGAAGTTAATCCATAGGTTCATCCAATGTGTCTGTGTCCTCTTTGAAATGATTTCTGATAATCCATAAGCAATAAAACTGCTTTTTAGTTTCCAAATGCCAGAGCTAGAATGTAGCTCCACTCTGCCCTACATTTACATGCGCGCAGCCCCCACCTTTTCCCTTCACAATGAGTGTGTATGTGGGACTCCCCCTTCGATTCTATTGGCTCTAACGGTCAGAAAGAGGTGTCAACCATCAAAATCAAGCAAGGGGGGCCAGAGATATGGAAAAAAAAAAAAATCACCTCAGAGGTGGGGTGGTTTTGGCTAAACCTCTCTAAAAAGGTCAAATGTCACTTGTTTTGCATCAATCTTGATACAGGGTACTTATGATATGTTGTACTTTGGATTCCTAAAGCTTTTAGTCTACTAACCCATCATCCAAGGGTAGTTTTCACTATCTGTAAAAAATAATGTTTGGACGGACACTATAATTTACAGTTTTTTACTATGTTCAATCTGAATTTTCTTTAAAATAAAAAACATCTATATTGATTCTGACACTTCTACATCCAACTCACAGATGTAACCTTGCTTTGATAAAAGAAATTATTCATATAACCCTTTTAGAAGTTAAGTTGTAGTCATTTGTTTTGGGCATGTCATTTTCGAGCCTGAAACATGAAAAACAGGCTTGGTGCTTAACAGGTTAAGGCATTTCTAACCCTCCAGAATATTTGACATATTCAGACATTAAAGGGGACCTATCATGCAAAATGCACTTTTGTACGTCTTTTATACATGAATATGTGTCCCCGGTGTTCCAGGGAACTCACCAAGTGTCAGAAAACACAACCCTCTCTATTTTCCTCCATACCCAAATCTCTAAAAAAGGGGCTGCAACGGATCTGATAAAAACTGATCCAGATTTGAACATTTCTCTGACGTCAGGACGGAGGAGCTCCGCCTATATGGCCAACTCTCCACCTATCAGGGGAATGAGAGGTTGCCGTGGCCTGGTAACAGCATGGTAACAGCATGGTAACATGACGCTCGTGCCTCGGCCCCCTCCTTTGCAGGGGGGCGTGGTCAGCTGCAGCCCATGCAAAGACAGAGCTGGAATAGAGCAAATAGAGCGAAATGAGGCATGGCTAAAAAGCATGATCTGTTTGGTATTTTGAAAAAAAAACTTCACAGACATGTTTTCTATAGGTATGGCCCTACAATATATTATTCAAATATAGCATGATAGGTCCACTTTAAATAAAAGTTTGAAGCTTGTGAAGACGGGGTGATGACCATCTCTCTGAAATGATGAGTGACAGGTTGACAATAACACTATTATTATCTACACTAGTTTGTAATATTTTTCACACATTGCACCTACTGCGATTGGGATATTGCACGACACCATAATGCAATTTCAGTAAAACCATATTTAGCACATATTTAAATTGTCTCCAGCAGATTTCTACATCCTGAATCTTCCCTCCTGTCTCCTGTCAGGAACCAACATGCTGATGGTGGGCGTCCACGGCCCGAAGACGCCCTGCGAGGAGGTTTACGTGAAACACATGGGCAACAGGATGTACAACGTGACGTACACCGTGAAGGAGCAGGGCAGCTACATCCTGATCCTGAAGTGGGGCGATGACCACGCGCCCGGCAGCCCCTTCCACGTCACCGTGCCCTGAGCCTGAAGCTCTGAAGACACAAAGACTGAAGACACAAAGACTGAAGACTGTCCACTTTCTGTTTCAGACCACAGCTCTCACACTCTCTCTGCTTCTCTTGGAGCAACACCAGTTTTAAAGGTCACCGATTATGCAAAATCCACTTCTTCATGTCTCTTCTACATCAACATGTGTCCCCTCTTCTTCATGTCTCTTCTACATCAACATGTGTCCCCTCTTCTTCATGTCTCTTCTACATCAACATGTGTCCCCTCTTCTTCATGTCTCTTCTACATCAACATGTGTCCCCTCTTCTTCATGTCTCTTCTACATCAACATGTGTCCCCTCTTCTTCATGTCTCTTCTACATCAACATGTGTCCCCTCTTCTTCACGTCTCTTCTACATCAACATGTGTCCCCTCTTCTTCATGTCTCTTCTACATCAACATGTGTCCCCTCTTCTTCATGTCTCTTCTACATCAACATGTGTCCCCTCTTCTTCATGTCTCTTCTACATCAACATGTGTCCCCTCTTCTTCATGTCTCTTCTACATCAACATGTGTCCCCTCTTCTTCATGTCTCTTCTACATCAACATGTGTCCCCTCTTCTTCATGTCTCTACTACATCAACATGTGTCCCCTCTTCTTCATGTCTCTTCTTCATTAACATGTGTCCCCTCTTCCTCATGTCTCTTCTTCATCAACATGTGTCCCCTCTTCTTCATGTCTCTTCTACATCAACATGTGTCCCCTCTTCTTCATGTCTCTTCTACATCAACATGTGTCCCCTCTTCTTCATGTCTCTTCTACATCACCATGTGTCCCCTCTTCTTCATGTCTCTTCTACATCAACATGTGTCCCCTCTTCTTCATGTCTCTTCTACATCAACATGTGTCCCCCTCTTCTTCATGTCTCTTCTACATCAACATGTGTCCCCTCTTCTTCATGTCTCTTCTACATCAACATGTGTCCCCTCTTCTTCATGTCTCTTCTACATCAACATGTGTCCCCTCTTCTTCATGTCTCTTCTACATCAACATGTGTCCCCTCTTCTTCACGTCTCTTCTACATCAACATGTGTCCCCTCTTCTTCATGTCTCTTCTACATCAACATGTGTCCCCTCTTCTTCATGTCTCTTCTACATCAACATGTGTCCCCTCTTCTTCATGTCTCTTCTACATCAACATGTGTCCCCTCTTCTTCATGTCTCTTCTACATCAACATGTGTCCCCTCTTCTTCATGTCTCTTCTACATCAACATGTGTCCCCTCTTCTTCATGTCTCTACTACATCAACATGTGTCCCCTCTTCTTCATGTCTCTTCTCATCAACATGTGTCCCCTCTTCTCATGTCTCTTCTCATCAACATGTGTCCCCTCTTCTTCATGTCTCTTCTACATCAACATGTGTCCCCTCTTCTTCATGTCTCTTCTACATCAACATGTGTCCCCTCTTCTTCATGTCTCTTCTACATCACCATGTGTCCCCTCTTCTTCATGTCTCTTCTACATCAACATGTGTCCCTCTTCTTCATGTCTCTTCTACATCAACATGTGTCCCCTCTTCTTCATGTCTCTTCTACATCAACATGTGTCCCCTCTTCTTCATGTCTCTTCTACATCAACATGTGTCCCCTCTTCTTCATGTCTCTTCTTCATCACCATGTGTCCCCTCTTCTTCATGTCTCTACTACATCACCATGTGTCCCCTCTTCTTCATGTCTCTTCTACATCAACATGTGTCCCCTCTTCTTCATGTCTCTTCTACATCAACATGTGTCCCCTCTTCTTCATGTCTCTTCTACATCAACATGTGTCCCCTCTTCTTCATGTCTCTTCTACATCAACATGTGTCCCCTCTTCTTCATGTCTCTACTACATCAACATGTGTCCCCTCTTCTTCATGTCTCTACTACATCAACATGTGTCCCCTCTTCTTCATGTCTCTTCTACATCAACATGTGTCCCCTCTTCTTCATGTCTCTTCTTCATCAACATGTGTCCCCTCTTCTTCATGTCTCTTCTACATCACATGTGTCCCCTCTTCTTCATGTCTCTTCTACATCAACATGTGTCCCCTCTTCTTCATGTCTCTTCTACATCAACATGTGTCCCCTCTTCTTCATGTCTCTACTACATCAACATGTGTCCCCTCTTCTTCATGTCTCTACTACATCAACATGTGTCCCCTCTTCTTCATGTCTCTTCTACATCAACATGTGTCCCCTCTTCTTCATGTCTCTACTACATCAACATGTGTCCCCTCTTCTTCATGTCTCTCTACATCAACATGTGTCCCCTCTTCTTCATGTCTCTACTACATCAACATGTGTCCCCTCTTCTTCATGTCTCTTCTACATCAACATGTGTCCCCTCTTCTTCATGTCTCTTCTACATCAACATGTGTCCCCTCTGTGGAAAGAGACTCTCTTTTTGATCCATTTATATAAAAACCTGTCTGAAAATGATCTGATCAGATTTTGGCCACTTGATGATGTCATAACGATGTTTTGTCTTGTGTAACCATTAGCCAATCAGCAACCAAGGTAACCCCCCCCCCCCCCCCTTATCACCTGAATCTCCTCCTACAGCACCATTGAGTTCTTTGTAACCAAATGTCTCTCAGAGGGGCGTGGGGAGGGGCTCCTTATTTTCATCTAAAGCAACAGACAGAGAATCAGCACTTTGGAAACAGGGCTGAAACAGAGGGGATTATGGGTAATGCTGCAAAGATCTGTTTGGTGTTTCAGCCAATCAGAGACAGGTTCTGGATATATCTGAGACCTGTGATATAGTGATGAAGAGGAGGATAATCGGGGACCTTTAAACCTGCTGACCGTTATGAGAACATCCTCAAATATCGATGCCGTTATTGTGCCTTTGGTTCATTCTGCAGTTTGACAGCGTTGACATGTTGAACATGAAGCAACCCTGCAGCACGACGTCCTGTCAGAGCGTTAGAACAGCTAATGCTAATTATGCTAACTATGCTAATGTCTGCTTAGTGCAAACTGACTTCACAGGGATGATATTTGAAGGAAGGGAGTCCAAAAGTTATCAGAAGATATTAACGTGTTAGCACAAGATGCTACCTTTAGCATCAAACATTTTACGTAAGATAGATGTTGTTGCACAATATTTAACTTTTAGATAACTCTTTCAAAGTCAGTGTGTTGTACATTTACACAGAATCATTGACAAGATTGTTGGCAAAAGTTTGTTCTGACACAATTGTACGATTAATTTTCTTCTTTGAACCAAATAGTTATCAGAAGATATTATCAATGCAAAATCTTTTCACAAAAATTGTTTGTAAAAGTTAGCATATCGTTGGCATCAGTTAGCATCTTGTTGGCATCGGTTAGCATCTTGTTGTTGGCATCAGTTAGCATCTCGTTAGCACCTCATTGGCATCAGTTAGCATCTCGTTGGCATCAGTTAGCATCTCGTTAGTATTTTGTTGCACCAGATACAGAAACTCCCCGGAGTTGGGGAAGGCTTCAGTAGAAGCTGCTGGGACTCCCAGCAGCTTCTACTGAAGCCTTCAGAGTAAATCTCCAGAACGCCGACACCTCCTCATCTCCACCGCTCCCATGTTTTCTTTTGTGTTGCCATAAGTTAGTCTCTCTCCGTTTTGCGCTGGGCGAATGCTAATGCTAATAATGCTAATGCGAGGATAATAAAATGGTGGCTCTACAAAACATTTCAGAGTTTTACGAGGCGTGGTTTGCAATTGGCCCAGCCAATCGGAACTGGGGCACTTTTTTCCCCCAGGAAAGTACCATCTCTCAGCAGGCACTAAAAATGGGGGTAAAAGTTCCCGCGATCAAGTGCTCTTTTTGGTGTGAACGCGACATAAGGGGTACTAACGGAACTAAACGCGAAAAGTAGCATCTCGTTGGCATTAGTTAGCATCTCGTTGGCATCAGTTAGCATCTCGTTGGCATCAGTTAGCACCTCGTTGGCATCAGTTAGCATCTCGTTGGCATCAGTTAGCATCTCGTTGGCATCAGTTAGCATCTCGTTGGCATCAGTTAGCATCTCGTTGGCATCAGTTAGCATCTCGTTGGCATCAGTTAGCACCTCATTGGCATCAGTTAGCACCTCATTGGCATCAGTTAGCATCTCGTTGGCATCAGTTAGCATCTCATTGGCATCAGTTAGCATCTCATTGGCATCAGTTAGCATCTCATTGGCATCAGTTAGCATCTCGTTGGCATCAGTTAGCATCTCATTGGCATCAGTTAGCATCTCATTGGCATCAGTTAGCATCTTGTTGGCATCAGTTAGCACCTCATTGGCATCAGTTAGCACCTCGTTGGCATCAGTTAGCATCTCGTTGGCATCAGTTAGCATCTCGTTGGCATCAGTTAGCATCTCGTTGGCATCAGTTAGCATCTCGTTGGCATCAGTTAGCATCTCGTTGGCATCAGTTAGCATCTCGTTGGCATCAGTTAGCATCTCGTTGGCATCAGTTAGCATCTCATTGCATCAGTTAGCATCTCGTTGGCATCAGTTAGCATCTCATTGGCATCAGTTAGCATCTCGTTGGCATCAGTTAGCATCTCGTTGGCATCAGTTAGCATCTCATTGGCATCAGTTAGCATCTCGTTGGCATCAGTTAGCATCTCATTGGCATCAGTTAGCATCTCGTTGGCATCAGTTAGCATCTCATTGGCATCAGTTAGCATCTCGTTGGCATCAGTTAGCATCTCATTGGCATCAGTTAGCATCTCATTGGCATCAGTTAGCATCTCATTGGCATCAGTTAGCATCTCATTGGCATCAGTTAGCACCTCATTGTTAGTATTTTGTTGCTCCAGTTACTAATGTTTATATTCTAGTATTTGGTGCAACGAGTAAACACCTCGTAATTACACAATATTATATAATCTTCCGACTTCAGGAACTAGCCTAAACGCTGAAATGTGTGTTTAGTTGATCTCGAACTCGACCCCTGACCTCGGACGGTTTCAGCTTTAAGCGACAAACGATCCTCTCTGATTGGATGAAACTCAGGATTTCTCCGGATACTTCTGGATAAACTGTGGCTGTGAGAGTGTGTGTCTTCCCGTCAGGAGTGTGTGTTAAACCCAGTGTGACAGGAAGTGATGTCAAAGGGTCAGATGTGACGAGATTTTATTTATTCTCAGACCCCCCCCCCCCTCTCATCTGATTTTCTTTGACAGAAAATGGTCACCGAGCCGGATGATGATTTTGTATTTTTGCTACAGGAAGTCGTGCGGTCG